GGATGCTAACAGTTAGCCTAATCTGCACCTTAAAGTACCACACTGGTGTTGTCATCCTGGGCATCCTTTGGGATACTTCTGTAAACCCAGAATAAAAGGGAACCTAAAGTTAGTTGCTAACTGTCGTATGAATTCCTGGCCATTCTAATGAATAGATCGAGAGTATTTTTGTTAGTGTCAGGTTGGTGTTTCTAAGAACTCGTCCCCACAAAACATGCTCACACATGATGACTTCTCTCCTTTTTTCTGTGTCATCCAAATGTTTACTTTCTAACCCACCATGTTTAGATTCTGGGCTGGAAAAAAAAGGTTCAGAAACATGCAAGATGGTTAGTTTCCTTGGGTCAAAACATTGCAAAACTGGATTGCGATGTATCTAAAAAGAACAGCTATACTTAAGTGCCTTAAGATGTTTACAGAGTGGTCAGTTTGATGAAGGAAATTAAGAAAAATAACAGTATGTACCATACATACATAATGCACATCTCAAAAACAATGCCACTTTTATTGTGAGGGGCTTATGAGACCATGTGATCATGTGGTACAGTTATATCCCGTAAATAAAAATGCCACTACAGCTTTTTAGATAGATAGATAGATAGATAGATAGATAGATAGATTGTGATCTTAGCATCTACTAACATGAGTATTCGAATAGTGTAGTATATTGATTACAACTGTACAGTAAGTGTAGTCTATATTTGCCACAAATAGAATCTGTAGCATATCTAGGGAACTGGCTGGTTTCTAAAGACCTGAAGCCCTGTAGATTTCCTTCAGACTCTCTACTCCATGAAGAGGCAGTATGAGCCCTCATTGGTCGCTGATGTCACACATTGTACGCTTCATTGGAAATTTACATCAGGTGAAGATGAAGACAGGACTCCTAAAAGACATTTGGGAGGAACCATGAAAGGATCCCAGCTGTTTGAAGATCGGCCTGCTAAGCTTTCTGGATAACAGCTTGGACAAAATGTTCTTGCTCTTCATCTCTCCCTTTCTCACACAGAAACCATCTTAGGAGAGTGCAGCTTTGTATGTGTTTTGTAAGCGTGTGATTTGCTGAACTGTCACCACAGGACATCACATACCCCCCTTTTTTTCATATCACGCATGGACCAAGCCAAGACGGTGTGAGAATTCTGAGCTCTCTCCTTTCTGGACCCAAACATGTATATCTACCAGAACATTCCTGAAGATACACTTTATGTTGTTTCAACTAATTACAGATAAAGGATTTTAGACTGATAGTACAAGATTTCCAGGAAAACAAAGTAGATTACAGTAAAATGGTCACATTGCCCTCTTTACACAATGCCCTGCATTGCTTTGGGCCATCAGCACATTTAAATGCCTATAATCAAATCCATAAAAGTACAAAATGACCTCAAAATAAACCCCTCAATAGAAAAGAAAAGGCCATATTTTTCTTTTATAAGAGAAATATGATAACAAAACGAGAAGTTACAGCGAAGGTTGTGAGTAAATCATATGACAACGCATAAAGCAGGGAGATTTAGGGTTATGCGGAAATTTAACTGACCATGTGTTGACCGAGTTTGAATATGTTGGTACAGAATTCAAGCTTAAGCTGTTGCACAATGTACAATGCTGTGATTGCCAAGCCACTTAATTACACAGAAATAAACCAATCAAATTCTCAGAAAATGCCTCATAATTCTCTTACTAAGCAGCAACTAAAAGCTCTAGAATCTTTTATAGTGGTGACTTTCGAAGTGGAAACGATGCCTTAAGTAGAAAAACCTTGATGTAACCGTAATGGTGAAAATTAGTACCTATTAGAATGACACATCAATCTATCTTCGGATATCTTATTCAGTACAGGAGTGGAGGGGGCTGCAGGCTTCCTCAGGTCAGATGGGGCTCAAATCAAAATAATGCATGTCAGTCAATCACAGGGCATTTTAGAAAGACTGACTTACCCAAACACATACCTTTTTTACTGCAGTAAGGAATAGGCATACTCAGAGAAAACCAATAAAAATGGGACAGTCCATCTTATAGCTTGTGTATCGGTTCAGTCCCCATTTAAAAAACCAAATGCAAATATCTGCTTCTCTTTCCACAAATCCAGCTCCCTAAACCACTTACCCCACACAGAATCACCTAATGTCTAACTACCACGTGCTAAACTCAATAAATTTTAGCCCTTTTCACAGACTCTCATTCTTGAATCTGACCTTACAACATTCCCTTTCCTTTCCTTTTTTCCTTATAATTGTGAAGGTTTGGGGAACAATTTAGCGTGAGTCAAAAGCAGGACTATTCAACTCACAGTCCTCAAGGGCCGAGCCCTGCTGGTTTTCCAAACTTCCTTCACCTGTGAGCCAGGTGTGAAGCCTCTGGCCAATCAGAATCAGTAATTATTAAACTAACTACCTGGGAGAACTGAAAACAAGGCCTGGATTTGGATATGAGGGCCAGATTTGAAGAGCCCTGGTCTGAAGCTTCACTTCAGCTGATGCACAGCAGAGCAACTCAATGTTATTGCAGCAGGTTGAATTGAACTTGGGATTTGGCTGTAATCTTACATATCTATATAAAATAATGTTCCAGGACTGCTGCTAATGAAAAATGTAAACATTTGAAGAAAAAGTAGAGATATTCCCTCCAGTTTTAAATCATCATTAAAATAACTTTCCTTCCATAACAGTGTCACAATGCAACATCATGCTTCTGCCCATTGTGGCTGGTCTTTTTGAATTACTAGAATGCGGAATTCATGCTGGGGCAGTTTCTTCCAAGGCCACATTTTCTGACCAATGTCAAATCTGGATTTAACAAGAATCGCCTGCCTTGTTCCCCACATTTCCCGGTAAAGCTCCAGGCTCTCTGAGACCCTACTGGCATTTTGGAAGATGTGTGGATGCATGTAAGAAACAATTTATAGGCTCAGTCACATGACTGATGTCAGCCATGACCTTGAGCTGTGAAGGTGGATCTGATGCAGGGTAAAGCCTCCTTACCAGCTTAATAGGTTCAGACATAAGACATAAGGTTCAGACCTAACCCAAATGATACTGGATCACCAAGCAGGGATGGGTTTGTTGTCTCTGGGGCCCTACTCACTTCTGCCCCCTTCCCCCCAGCCCCTCTCAGATGTTTCAAATCAATTAAATAGCTAGTGAGTCAAGTAAGAAAATTGTAGTTAGCAAGCTGCTTAGCAGGACATGCTGCTTCAGCATGTTCCCCACGTGCTTCAGCATGTTCCCCACGTGCTTCAGCATGTCCTAAATAACAAACATTTTCATTTAAAATGTAGTGCAGTTACTCTTTGTGGACAATATTGACACAAATGTCAACCAGTATAGCTTTTGGGGCCCACAACATCAATTGGTGATGTACACAGAGTCCTCAATGGGAGGTGTGGAGCCGAACCCAGGCAGGAGAGGGCACAAGGCTGGGGTCACCCTGAATGGGATGCCAGTCCATCACAGGGCACAGGGCTGGGGACGCCCTACATGGGATGCCAGTCCATCACAGGGCACACACACAGACACACATTCACACTGTATGGCCAATTCCGAATTACATGCTTTTGACTTTGGGAGTGCATCCTAAGAAACCTGCATAACAAGGGGGGGGGAGCAGCGCTATCCAGCTGGGGGAGATGATTCCAGGCGAATTGTGTGCAGTTTGCATGCTCTTCCTGTCTCTGCAAGGCATTCCTCTGGGTACTTCAGGTGCCCACAATCTACAGGTTGGGACATGTCTGTATCAAAATTGCGGGAGCACCATTTATGTTTAGGGGGTGAAGGGCTTTGGGGCTGATTTGGTCCCTACCAATGCTGAAATCAAACCTACACCCTTGCTGGATGGATGGATGGATGGATGGATGGATGGATGGATGGATGGATGAATGCAGGGTAAATCTGCTTGCTGGCTTAGCTACAATTCCATCATGAAGTACATTGCACCATTATATTATTAAATATTAGTTTTTCATGTAACAAACATTGACCACTTGTTTACTCATGGGAAAATCTTGCCCACCATCTATTCCTTTTAATCTGCTTTCTAGCAAAAGTAAAAGCATTTATTTCTAACACAGATTCCTACAATACTAATATGATCATTTAAAAGTAATTAATTATCTTTGTTCTCTCCCATGAATCCTTTCTACTGCAAAATCTAGCAGAATCCAAAAGCAAGATAAACAGCACGCAACGGTTATTAAATCAAGAGGAAAACAATTATAAATACACCCAAGAAGTCCGAGTCAAGAATGAGGTACGAATACACTTCCTTCCTGGAATAACAGTCCGTGCGTCTCTGGAAATAGCTCAGGGTTCGCTGTACAGGCCAGACAATAAGACTGTGAGTATCGTGGGGCAAAGAAAACAACTGAAAGTCAACGCAACCAGTGAACTGTACATTTACGTTGTGATGTCTGCGAAGAAAAAGCAAATAACCCTGACATACATCTGTCTCGCAGAAACGTACAATTTCTTCATCTGGAGAGTGAGGAGAACTAATTAAAACTAGTTTGGATGGATGGACGGATGGATTGCTATAGTGTCAGTATAAGCTGGTCTCTTCCTAAAATTGTAAACTTAACTTAGTTATTGAGAAACAATTCAAACTGTAATTTCAATTTTATTTTTGTATTTTCAGGTGCAATATGAAGGTTTACGATCGAATGTTTATGTGTGACTATTTCACGTGCCACAATAAACATTAAACTACTATTACTACTACTACGTTACATGCCGTCATTTTATTCTTTATTTCTTTTTCATTCTCTTCACATGACGAAGTGAGCATATTAACACCGTTTCAGTTTAGTCCTAGTTACTTTGTACCTACATGCGGGATTACGTATATCATTATAAAACCGTTTATTTACTGCGCACATGTGCTCACAAGTTTAAAGAAAAAAAACACATCTATGTACCACTAGTGTGCATTGGAGATGGAGACGGCTGAATGTGTTGTTTCTGCAGTCCTGGAGAGACCAGACAAACTTCATGCAAACTTACCCTCACTTCCATACTGTTTCCCATTTTGTGCACCCATTTTAGACAATGCATAGTCTATCCACACACCCTCGGCGTATCCATAGTGTTATACAAACATCCAGTGGGGTAAAAATCCAGCGTAAAAACAGCTGCGTTACATAGAGGAAAATGTCCCAGCCTCGGGGATTTACAGTCGCTGCACCGTTAACTTTAAACCCTATAGCTTTGAAAAGAAAGACGCTCCGATATGCAATCCACTCAGATGAAGCACTGTTCCCTTAGTGTTTTATGTATTTATCTATTTTTTCTCCGTTATCCAAAGTGTAAGCAAACAAATACCTGATCGTTTAAGAAATGTATTACACCGCCAGATGTGGCGTTGAGACTCCGCCGACAGTCTGTTTAAGGAAAGGAGCGCTACCTTACTCTCATTGAGACGTTACCCCCCCTCTTCACAACTCCAGCGATCAGGGGTGCTGCAGGCACCGCTGAGATCCTTCAAAACATCTCCGTTAGCTATTTGCGTAGTTTCTTTTATGAAAAAAATACAAGAATAATAATAATAATAAAGTTACTGCTTTGTTTTTTATAATATGTCAGCAATAATTTAATTGTAATGTTTATACAACGACCCCGCATCCACTAGTGCTGAAGTACGGAAAATAATGCTGTCTATGTATAATAACATTCAGGTAAACGTTGTGCATTACTTTTTTTTTACTTTTTTAGGTGGAAATATAATACAACTAAATTTAATTGGAGGGCAATAGGAAACTCTTTTATACTGAAAGCGCTTAATTGGTCTGCCTGTTCTTACAATGGTGATTTTTTGCCTATACAGTTCTTGTATCCGTTATGCACTAGCGTCCTCTACTGGCCAAACCACAAATATAATAAATCATAAATTGTAGTACATAGGAGTATTTATCAGTCTTCTTTTATTGAATCGTAATTGAATCTCACAACAGATATCACAAAATGTTACAGAAAATATCTTCCGGGCCATTTGAGAATGGTGCAGCGTTTTTCATGCTTTCTGCCTCTCTGAAGCTGTAACGCAGCTCCAGAGTTTAATGGTCCCAGATGTTCATTCTGCTTTAAAAGAAACGAGGTTAGACAGACAAATCCTGGGCCAAAATGTGTTGCGGTTTGGTGATATTAAGAACAAATATGACAGAATGGTTTGTTTTAAAACAATCTCTCTTAAGGAAACAAAAAAAAAACCTCATTTGTGCTGTGCCAGAGAGAAATGAACTATAGCCTGCCATTGCATATGTGGTATGGATGGAACAGTGCAACCCAAATATCTGTTTAGACAGCGGGTTACACTCAAGATAAGGTCCATAACAGAAGCCTAGAATTCTGGGTATGGAAAATTTGGAAAAATAAGTATTTCAAATAAAACTTGCAATTGTAAAGCCTTTTCTCCAGGTGTTTTATTACATTATTTTACCATAATATTTATTTTGTAATGTCTTTGAACATCTCAGGAAATTCTGTTCAGTCGTTCATTGTTACATAGCTTAATGAGTGACTGAAGAAGCATTCCAGTGTACCTGTACTTGTGCAAATGGCAAATAATGCATGTTTGATAACTAATAGCTTTAAATCATTGTATGATTTTAAAGTTTCTCAGTAGAAATCATCCTACTTCCAACTTCTGATTGTTGTTTCCCTACAGGGTGATGAGGAGCCAGGAGCTTAACCCTGACCATTCAATGCACAAAGCCGGAGACACTTTGGATATGCTGCCAGCCAATCACAGGGCACACACACATTCTAGAATAGAATAGTTGTGGTTTATTCACCCCTGTAAGGAGATTGGCTAATGTTCATATAGCCCATCTTCTGTGAGAGACACAGACACACGTATATATGGATTAGAGCACAGGACCATCCAACATCCCTGGAGTAGCTAGGGTTAAGCACTTTGCTTATGGGTCCATGCTCTACCAGCCGTAGGATTCGAGCCCACAACCTTCTGGCACATATAGCTAACCCACTGAGCTGCACGCCAGTAAATGATTTGCCTAACTGCATGTCTTTGGAATGTGGGTGGATACCAAAGTAGACAGAGGGAACTCACATGACAGAGATAAAACACTGAAAACATCGCATACACAGGGAAGGAGAGCCAAATAAGCAACCCTGACAGTGTGACACTGCAGTGCTGCCCACTGAGTCACTGTGCCACTGTAAGACCTGTGTTTTCAACAGACAACTGCAGCTTTGCTCCGAGAGAGAGAGCTGGCTGAACCAGAAGACACTCCTCTTCCAGTTTGATAGGGAGCCTTCTGACCAAAGAATAGATGTCTTGCTCTGGATATATTTCCAATTGTGTTTATTTTGGCAATACATTGTTTAGGTACAGTATTACTAAGTAGAGTCCCCACTTTTAGGCCTGGCCCTAGGCTAACATGACTCTCACCCCAGGCAGGGGTGGGGACAGAGTAAGAGAGGCATTATTATTGTTATAGTTGTATGTGTATGTTTTTTGTTCTGCAGTTTTCCATGACCACAAATTGAAATAAAAAAGGACAATGTGATTAACTGAACATTTCTAATAGGTGGCACAAGGGCAATCTAGGGTGGCCAGTGTCTCTCTAGGCCCCCAGCCCCCCCAGCGCCAGCCACAGTCACATTACAATTCATCAGAGCTCGTCTCAGTACAGCCTGCCATTCCTGTAAATTTCCCCAGGCATGAGATGAGATAGCAGTTCACTATTGCTATTTGGAGAATTTATATATGTATGCATCTGTCTATCTAATGCGTGGCAAATCGGCTTTGGCATCCCAGTTTATGAGATTTTTTGACAGTGCTCAGTGGTAGCAGTACAGACATTTTTTATCAACATACATTTCCTTATCCCAACCTGCCACCAGAGACGTTCCTCATGACACATTTAATGTTCCCTCCATCCATATCACACAAATCCTGTCGAATTTGCAATGGTTATCTCCTGAGTGAGTTACTGTGCAATGTTAGCATTTGATGTCAGACTTCTGTCTTTGAACGTATGTATATCAGATTTTATTATGTAGTCGACTAGACAGTTGATAACTCCATCCATCTATGCATTGCCTGAGCCCATTTATCAGTTACAGGGTGATAGTGAAGCAGGAGCCCAGAAATCAAACCCCAAACACTGGGGGGGTTTTGCCACATGTTTCCCACTGAGCCACCACATGAGTTTTATGCGTTTAAATATTTTTAGTGTTTGAAATAAAAGGTGATGAAAAGGGCTGATTCTAGAATTTGACCGTTACGGGGTGGGCAGCCCCCACTAAGGTTGCCACTTTCAAACCATGAGATGCCACCCACATTAACATTTACTGAGTTGGGGGTGCTAAGAAATCAGCTCTAAAATATGGGACGAATTGTGAAATCGACTTAAGACGATAATTTTTCAGGGGGGCTGATGTAAAAAATAGAGATTCTAATGCCCCCCCCCCCCCTCAAAAAAAAGGTAAGGGTGTAAGGAAGCCTCACACTATGTTAGATTATATGTATCCATCTAAAAACGTGTATACTTCACTGATGTCTAGAAAAAAATTCTAGAATGGTAATTCAGTTACTAACAGGTTGTGGTCTTTATTGTTGATTTGTAGTTGTTAGCATAACCCAGATACCCGACTGCTCACTTCTGAGTAGAAATGATCTATGATTGCCCCTATTTATGCAAATCTGAAGCCAGCTGCAAGTGTAAGACATTCAATTTACCAAGGACCTTTACAGAACTGTTTTTCTGGATATGGGAACACATTAATCACACTTGAATACTATATCCCAAGGTACAGGAACCATTTGTTTGACTTCTTGCAGTGCTCATAGTCACTCCTGAACCTTGAGGTTCTGTAATCATATATTCTAGACCAGGTGATCCCAGGGATCTTCAGCCATATCTTGGTCAAGAGTGTTTAGCTTAGCCAAGACTATTGACAATCACTCACTTAAGGTGGCCTGCATACTTACATTAATTAACCCTTTAGTTGGTATCTGAAATGAATTCCAAATATGAACCAGATTGTTGTGGTTACAATTGATATTCACCAGTCAGACTAGAATTTTTTTTTTGACATTTTCATATGCTTGTGTGTACTTACTGTTGAACCTTGAACCAAACATTGGATAGCCATTATTGCTTTTTTGAAGAGGAGTAGACAACTGAAAGTCCTTGTTTTAAAGTTACAGGATCAATAATAAACATTTTCCACAGAGCTTCCAAACCAATAAATATTTAGCATTTCAAGAAAGTAGATGCATTTTATTGTGGGGTAAATAAAGAAATGCAGGACTTGGCAGGGGGGAAAAAAACAACCGATTGAGATAAAACAGCATTTTGTGTGGCATGAAATCACTGCCTGAGCTTTCTTAACCCTTGTTCCCGTGCTCCTCAAACGTTATTGTGTACTGAAGATAAATATATCGGATTTAAAATTGGGAGTGGGATTTAGAGAAGCTAGGCTTTGAGGTTTTGGTTGAGAGAGAAATGCATTCTTTATACCAGAGAGCATCTGATTATGTGGGATATATTTCAAAGATAAATTTAGTTTTTTGGGGAAAAACAGGCAATGTTTTTTTTTTTTTTTTTAATGACCATAGCGTTTCAGATGCCAAAGTCCAAAGAAAACAGACATCAGGTGTGGCTTGAGAGGGTTGTTAGTCTAAAATAAGGCCTCTGTCAACAGGCCTGCAGGGAAGGGTGTTCCTTTTAAATCATCACAAAACAAGAGTTACATTGCTAACACTAACATCTTAATGCTACAGTGATTTAGGAATGAGCCTTAGGCATAGCTGCACTAATTAAATTGCACCAATTAATCAGTTTAGTGTCATTCCTCACTTTTCCAGGGAATTTATTTTTTTAACCAAAAGGTGAACACATGTTCTTTCACTACTAGGATTACTCAAACTATTCACAAATTTTGAATGAAAATGCTTGAAACGTATTTAATAGCTACCATTTAAAATATTTCTTATCCTTCAACAATGATACAAATTTGGCAGTAATACTCATGCATTTCTTGTCTTAGATAGTCATCGGTTCATTGGTTGACCAGTGTTGACCAGGAAAAACATCACGATGGGCAGGGTAAGGCTTCACAGGGGTTTCTGTATTGACAGTGTCGACACTTTGTGGTGATGTGGCAGATATTACATAATAGGAGCCAACTGATGCAGCGAAAACCGTGTTCGTTTCATTCCCGGAGACGTCTACAGAGGTTTCCATCGGAATTTCTGCAGGCTCCTCAAGAGGAAGTGATACATTGGTCTCTGCCACGGGACAGGAAGTGGAAGCAGCCAGAGTTTCATTTTCGGTTGTAATCAATGAGGAGGCTTCAGGTGAGGTTTCCACTGTGAGAGTCGCTGTTAGTCTCCAGTAGAGTGCCCTCATGGTGACAGGAATAGACATACATCTGCAACAACATGAAAGAAAATCAATTTTGAAGAGTTTAAAAAGAAAAAGGCCACCAGAACAGTCATGTTATGACATACCTTCCAATGATGGAAGTGTACAATGAAAAGTCTTAAACGAGAGGTATATTGTACAATAATGATTCAATATTTATTTGAATATGGGGAAAATAGAAAATTTGAAAAAAAATAATAAAAACTAAAAAACTGTAGGTAGTCTCACCTTTTTAAGACCCGAGAGAGGTAATCATCAGTAAGGGCATCCATCCGGCCACGTGGAAATAATCTACAGCTAATCTGCCGAGAATCATCTATGTTCACCAAGACTGCAAAGGCATCAATGAAAAAAGACACCCAGTCACAGGGTATATTTGTATGGCAACATTTACAGTACCAGTCAAAAATCTGGATATACCTCCTGAAAACCTTCTCAACAAGACCCTAAGGATACCTCAGGCTTATGTATTGTGTAGGGTTATACATTATCTTGTGAGCAAGGAAAGATATGGGACAGATGACCCCACCATCCCCTGATCTAAAGTCTATACAGCTGGTTTGAAATGACAGAAACGGGGGCTATTTTGAAGAGTATAGATTTCACAAAATTCTGAGATGACACTTCTCTTGGTCATACATTGATATGTACAGTATTACTTAATTCCCTCGAGACCTTGTACTACAAGATGAATACAGTGAAGAGAAAGAAATGCATGTGTCCATACCGTTGACTGATACTGTATGCTTTTGGCAAGTTCTGTACAGACTATCAAAATATTTACCATTTTACAAAAAAATAAAAATAAATGTATATTTATACAGTAACTGGAATTCTTAAAATGTAGATAAATCTACATTAGCATTTGAGAAAACATTTTGATTTCAAAGGCATTTCAATAACTACAGTAAGTTCTACCCGCAATGTTCCTTTGACGCACCTCCTTCAGGTGCCAATACTTACGCACAGTTAGACTGTCACTGTGGGCTTGGCAGAAGTGCAGAGAGAGGCTGGAGTCATTCTCCAGAATGACCTCACAGTGGAAATCAGCTTCTGAGGCTGGTGAGGTGAATGACACAAGAGCACCAGGAGAAAACGATACAAGTAAAACTCAAGCTTTACAAAACTGCTAAAACGTCTAGGCTGGTGATGCCTGAATGATGGCCCAATTCCTAAGCACCAAATCCTCCTCACAGACCTTTACAGGGCCTGTAGCACGTGATGCAGCTGAACAGTAGGGTGTTGAGGGCAGACTGGTGCCGCAGAAGCTCCAGCAAAGCTGGGACGTGGGCTGGGTGAGAGAAGGGAATATCACGCACGAAGGATCCTTCCAGGGAAGTGGGATTCTCCATGGCTTCGGACAATGCAAAACTGTAGGTCTGGTTCTTGGGAAGAAGCTGGGGGGGGGGGGGGGAATTGAGGAGAAATGTGTGTCTACAAACTAATACATTAAAATATTTAAATACATTACCCACATATGGTGAATCTCACAATAGTTTAGCAATAATTTAATTAATAAGCCACCTTTCATAGACCAGGGGCCCGATTCACCAAGCAGGATTTCCTGCTTAGACGGATAACTTGTCAGATTTAAGGTAGTCTGGGCTAAATGGATTTTATCTGCATTCGCTCACATTTAGCCCAAGACTACCTTTTACTACAGAAAGCTGAAAAAGATACATTTTATAAGGGCTTCAGTGCTGTCTATCAATTTAGCTTGTTCTTGTAATTGACTTGTTTTGGAGAAATTGGGCGTAGAAATGTTGGGCTTCACTCGAACATAATGGGAATGAATGGCATTCTTTCTGTGGTGATTAAAGTACCAAAGAAATACATTAGCGAAACTCAAAAGCAATGCATCTAACCAGAAATCATGACCAGGTTACTCAAGATAATCCACAGTCAGCAGTATAACGTAGAAACTATTTTCTTCTACCGAACGCCACACACCAACCATATCACTGCACAGAAGATAGCGCCAGGATGCTCATATCTTTGAAAATGGTTTCTACATGACCTGCCCCTTAAAATCCAACAATTTATCTGGCTTAGGAAGAATTTCTGCTTTGTGAAACAGTCCCTAAATGTAACTTTATAAAAAAAATACAGCTCTGGGAAAAAAAAAAATTGAGACCACAGCAAAATTTTTTGTTTCACTCATCTCTCAATTTATGGATATATGAGTGTGTAAAATATTTATTTATTTTTATATATATATATATATATATATATATATATATATATATATATATATATATATATATATATATATATATATTTTTTTTTTTTTTTGCAAACTACAGCCTGGCTCTTCCCCTGCTTCTCATAGACGAAGAGCTGCTTCCTTGCTTTATGAGACTTCAGTCCTGTTTCTAGGAACCTGTTACGATCCTGTCCTAGCAGTGCACTTCACACCTGCACCTAATGTTTCCCATTCTTTTTAACGGTCACTTGATGTCACCCTCCGATTCATGAGGGACTGTTGGATAAGTTGATGGCCATCTCTGGCATTAAAAAGTCACTTTTACCCTCAACCTTGCTGGTTTCTGGTCATTCCCAGTGTCTCCAATTTCACCTTGTTCTTGTGTACTGCTGTCTTAGACATTCTGAACCTGGAAGCAACCTGTTGTTCAGTATATCCTTCTGCCAGCAGAACCACAAATAAACCAGGATTTAACAATGCAGATACTTGCATATGGAGAGGTCTCAATTTTTTCCAGAGCTGTATATGCAGACACGATGGAACCAACAGTATTTTGTATAATACATTTTTTCCCCCGTATATTAATTTGATCCAACTATCCAACCACATATCAAGTACAGGTCTGTGGTGAACCCAGAGCTTAACCCAGGAAGTAAAATTCAGGACAGCACCCTGGATGGACTAGCAGTCCATCACAGAATGGGAAATGTAAAAATGCCAGTTTCTGGACAGCCGGAGGAAACCTGGAGTACCCTGAAGAAACCTCACACAACAGGGGAACCTGCAATCCCCATAATCTAGGCGTGAGTGGGATTCAAACCCGTGACCATGGGATTGCAAAGCAACGGTAGTACCCATGGAACCCTCATGTTAAAACTCCATGATGCCAATGCAGCCTTTTTGCACAAGCAACGTTCAGTAATTTGACACTTAAAATACTTTGTTTTAAATGGTAGGCACTTGGCAGCATTTCAGAATTAAATACAGAACTACTAATGTGGAAAAGCGGTTTCATTAAAAGGGCTTTGCGTGAAGATATTTACAACTTTATAAGCCTGACCTATAATTTTTTCCACAGCTGTACTGATTAAGTCTGCAGATCTATGCACCAAGATCCCTATTTTAGAAGGAATACAAGTAGACAAATAACCAACATCTATTGGCCATCACAGGCAACACCTTACTGTTGAAATGATAGGTTTAACATATGTAATTGATCAGACTACTGCAGTGCCTTAATAGGGTTGTTAGTTTCCCCCCCTTCCATCCAATCAAAAGACTTTAAAAATCTACTAGCTGAAGTCTCAGCCCAGTCTTAGCCAATCATTTTGTTTCAATTCCCCAGTAGAACCACAGGCTTTAAAACCATAATTCACAGTATGTTTAACCCTCAGAATACCTGCCATTGATGCCATTTCAGTGTCAGCAAGTTAGAACTGACGGCACATGATGTAGTCCCAGAATACATCTGGTAAATCAGTGTTCATGTTTGGCCCATATTCACTCTAGTGTGTGTGTGAAAACATATTAAAAAAAACTCTACTTTGGCCTTCCTGTATAAGCTGAACCTGTCCCAGGAATGTATTCCCACCAGCTGGAATAGCAGTAGATCAGAAATTTATTTTGTTCTTCTCAGTATGTACCCAAAATGTTTCGTCTTGCATTTTAAATTCTGGTAAGCAAGTGGCATAATTATTGATGGTTATGATGAGCTCTTAAATTGGGACGACTGCTATATACAAATTGCATCTTCATATTGGTCTATTGATTACCCAGTTACTCTCATTAAACACTGAAAAACTAACACTTATTGATTAGTACTTTTTCTTTCATATACAAACCACAAAGTGAGCATCCCCATTTTCCCAAGAACCAGTGCGGCCATTTTCCTCCAGAATGTTCTCCAACAGCAGCTGGGGGTAGGGCATCCACTTCAGGTCACTGTCACTGAGGGTCAGTCCTGTAGCAGGTCAACAACAGAACAAAAACACCTATTAAGCGTTTTAGAGCATTTAATTCCAGTTAGCAATGAGCTCCAAAGGTTTACATCCACTATCTGTACAAAAGCACTTCTGCATGGTCTCCACCTGTGATTTTCTGAACCCTGAGGACAATGGAGGACATCATTGCCAGAGGAGGTCGGAGCCTGAGCAGGAAGCAGGAGGGAAGCTCATCACTATTGCTGTCCTCCAGGGGAGAAAACACTGGAAGCCTGTAGGGACAGAGGACATTGAAGGGACTCCACACACAGCCATTGCTAATTGCTAATAACGTTTACTGGTTTTAAGGGCAATTATCGTTTCCCTTTCTACCACCATGAGAAGTAGACCAGGAAAGCCACACTCTGAACAGGACCATTTCATTAAAAGATAACTGAGAAATACTGCCCATTTGTCTAATAACCACATCATGGAAATATGCAGTAGCACATCAATACTCAAGTGTCAACAATATGCGGTCTGTACAGCTCATCTTCTTGATGGCCACCATGCAGGGCCGGCCCAAACCCCTTTTGGTGCCCTAAGCAAAATATGGTTAACCTAGTTGTCATGTGTCCGTCCTGTTTTGAGGACAAATCAGATGGTGCGACTCCCTGGTGGCCCTAAGCAGCAGCTCAGCTCAGCTCATTTATACCTTCAGCTCACTTATACCTTGGCCTGGCTCAGCCACCATGCCACAGATTACACAAGTAAGAGTAGGTGATGGTACCCCTGGGAGGCAATCTGAGGAGGCTGTGGGATCAGGGATGACGTCGGTAGCCTCTGTGTACCGTCGATTGTCCCAGCAGTAACCAAGGCCAAACGACCACCGGTGGTCTGCTCTAGGATGGTGAAAGTGATACCCATGAACAGGGATGTATACAGGGGTAGGGTCACTGGGATACTGGCACCAGCTGAAAGCTGATTGGCCCCTGGAGTTCCCCATACCGCGTCACTCAGCATCTCAAAACATATTACTGGCTATTGATAAGGCTGGCTCCTCTGTATTAAATACACCCCCCTCCTCCCTTATGCCCCCACCTAGAATTGCTCTTGCTCACCAATGGACTCATACAGCAATAGCTTTATTCATAAAATTAAAGAATGTGCTAATTTTCTCAGTTTCAGCAGGGATTATAATGTGTACCTGCATTTTTGGTCTCCATGAGAATGTCATATGGGCTCAGATAGTATTCAATAGTCATGGGGGTTCCTGTACAGACAGTAAAATGCTGAAATGAATGCACTGTTGGTTCTGTCCAACAAATATTTGGACTCTTGCTTCAATACCTTCTCTCCGGGGAACAATACAGCCGATTCTTCCATTGAGAACTGTGTCCACATGAACATCACAGACCTCCAATGATCTGAAAGTGAAGGCCAAGCTTCCTTTAAAGTTTCCAGGCTTGGTTTTCCCATTTTTATAAATTTATAGTTGTAATATAGAAGAGAATCTTTGATGGAGAGGTTTCCAGCTAGCTGCAATATATCCGCTATTTATTATAGTAATTTAATCATTTGAAAATATGAAAAAATAACCACAATCATAAAGGGAGACCGATCTTTCAATAAAAAAAAGGCATGAATTGTAAGTGATATTGCATGCATGAAATCAGACATAATCTCTTACCTGGGCAAGTTAGATATCTTAAGCAGATCTTTCTCCAGGCACTGAAGAGTATTATAGATCTTAATCTTAATTTCACTGCAAGGCAGAAAAAAATGATTACAGCTATAAATGAATTACATTTAAACTATATCATGAGTCAGTACTTGTCTCCAGGTATGTTGTAGAAGGAATTCAAGCAGTCCAACTTCGCTGAAAACTCTTCATACTTCTTTAACCTGAGCAATAAAAACAGTCAGTGACTTTGGATCTGTGTCAAATTGTTTGCTCTTTCAAGTCTAACTCTAAAGGTTTGCAAATATACACTTTTCTTACCTTAGAAGTTCAAGCAGAGTTTCAGAAGACTGAAAAACCAAGCAGACAACGAGAAATGACCCACATGATTGAAAATAATGATGTTTAATGCTTGTTATTGTCAAGGACATGAAGGTTTGCATGCATAAAGAACACAACTGTGAAAATCAGCTCTGCTACTGCACTAATTTCACAAAACCTGTATTAGTTCAGTCTTAAGACTTTCCTCATTTATATATCTAACCATCTACTAGCAGCTACCTAAATACACATGCTACTATACAGCCTTTAAAATAAGCAATATTTAGTCCAATGACTGTTATGAACAATGGTACATACAATACGGTACATACATATGGTACGTACAATACGGACCATACAGTACATACAGGCCTGCCTGCGTCATCCTTCCACTGGGGCCTGTCAGTGCTCAGCCTAACCCTAACCCCATACATACAGATCTGGATCGTCCTTAGCATTACACATTAAACTGCATACGGCACTATTTTGGGCTACCTGGGTTTCTGTTGCTATTGCTGTCACCACCGGAGTTTGACGAAGAATCGCAAGAGGGATGAGACCATATACTTGCTTTGTTTTAACACGTGAGGCTGACAGTCGAGACAAATGTGCAGCGAACCCAAGCCAAGATACGTAGAGAGCATTTTCCCCCCCCACAAAAAATAACTTCAAGATATAGCATGCACTTACACCATAAAAGTCACACTATTAAGCAATTTCACTTGAGCCAAATTATTCTTGGCTAACTCATCATCCAAAAAGACTCCCATTTAATTGTTTGTGGCTAACTGCGAATACCCAAAACTGCAAATGTCAAATTCGCCAATCTGGAAAGGCGACTCTTTTGCAGTATTCTGGGCTACCTGAGTTTGCGTTGCTATTGTTGTGGCACAGTTTGGAGAAGAACCTACTGTAGACAAATCACTTACCTCCGGGGCCTCTCCATGCAGGGCCAACTTGACATCCTGCACCCCATCTCCAGAGAGCAGAACCTCTACATAGAACATGTCTGAGGTCAGATAGCACGTTGACTCAGTCGGGCTCAGGTGGGACCCTAACCTGTGGGCCATATTCTCTCTTAGACACTTGAGGAACATCATGCATAATAAACTGTATACCAGTAACATTTTCATTAAAATGCATAACAAAGGATAACTACTTCTAGGTTTGTTAGGAAAAAAAATCCAGTGCTCAATATCTAGTACAAAGTTAAAAATTGTCATCCACATTTTGTCCTGAAGTGAAATTATTTTGTCAGGTGCAGTTTTTCCATTTCCCCCCCCCCCCCCNTTGCCCACACATCAGCCATCATCCAACTTGAAGGTTTCTTAGTATTTGAAATGGAGGCTGAACTCGCTGCACACCCAGCAATGGCCAACAAAAGAAGCAGGAACAGAGCTACCAAAAATCAAGGACACAACCCCAAACCCCCCCCCCAACTACCTCCTCACCAGGCAGAGGTTTGGAAAGCGCTTCAGCTGTCTTTCAGTGAGAAGACACGCTCAGAGAGGTTCTACCCTCAAGCCATCAGATTACTTAATACTTGAATCAACAGCTATAATTTAATATTCACTCCTTATTTATGCAGCATGCACTTTATTTGAACCGTCTTACACAACTCTGGCCTTTCCCCCCCCAGTATAACTATACATGTTCCTTATTTATTACACATTTATTATATTTACTTTTTGCATCTTTCTTGATTACTTTTATTACAGTGGCAGAGACGCCCACTTTGCATTTCACCACAGGTTACAGTCTGACTACATAGCTTGCATTTCAAACAAGCCACATCTGACGTTTTGTGTAAACAATATGTAAAGCAAAAAAAAAACAAAAAAAAAACTGGGTGTCACAAGGGTGTGTTGCACCATCTCTGTACACAAACCCTCTCTGCATAGCGATTGTCTCCAATCTGGATATGATGGCACTCACTGAACATTCTGGAAAAGAAATGAGAACATATCACATGCATACAATAAGCCCCAATTAACATGCATTTTAAAATGCAAGAAGAAAATATGATTAAAGGATGTTATAAACTACCCATATTTTGTGTTAAGATAAAAAGCATGACTTCTTACCGTTCATTGCTTCATACAGTTTTGCTAGACAACTAATAAGCACTGGACTGGAACTGGAGTCTGCTTTTGATTTATCCTGTAAAATGTTGAGTCCTTTTAACATGGTTTAAGCATTTATGGTTACTGACAGTGCAATAAAAAAAAAAGAATCCCTCCTCTATAATTGCTCATAATCCGTTATTACAGACTAATGAATTTAAAAATGTTATTAAAACAAAATCATGCCCAAAGGCTCAAAGTTCGTACATTTTTCCTAAAAAGGGGAAAACGCAGACTACAGTACATAATCGTGAGATTTATATTGACTTCAAGCCAGCTGGAAAGACCACCAACTACCAAGAAGCCAAAAAGAATGTAATACACATCATACAGATACTTGCTTAATTATTACGATCATGCACATTTACGATTGGGCTAATGCATAGGCCTACATGGCAAGCAGCATGCATTTGAACGCTTTAAGGAGGCACTAATCAACATAACCAGAACTAGGAAAACAGAGGTTTTTCCACTGTTGCATCTGGTCGTTTACTTTCTTAAGTCGGTCCAAGCTGTTCAGCTACATTTTATAAAACGGTTGTTTAGTCTGTTAATACGGAGAGAATTTATATAAATCAGAAACTCCAAGAGCTTATGAGAGTCCAGATAATAACATTTAAAAAACGGTAAAAGTCATTACCGAAAGATAAAATCACTTGACTCCAATTACACTGATTACAGTAACACGAAATAGGCCTACAGTCGGGTTCCGGCAATTTCTAACAAATACTTTGCAGCGCCGTTTGGTACCGTTTCAGGGGCGTGTGCAGCGCTCGCCAAGCACCTACGGACAAGCTGCTGAGTCTCACTCCACGGTCTCCCGGCGTACTTAGATCGCAGCTCAGAAATGATGCATTTATCTCCAGCTGGAAAGAGGTGCATCGAAAGAGAAAACGCGGGAGAGCGAATGAATGCACAAACAAACAAAAACAGAGAACTTTCATACTATAGAAATCGCGTCCGACTTCATTTATCATTTGTCATTTGTTTAGGCCGATTATACATTACAAATGTTATACCTCTGTGCTTTGGCTCCATTTTTGAGAAGCGTGAATTTGACCCGTAAATTACCAGTTCAAATGCTATAACGAAAGTTTAAATGGATCATCCAAGACACGTGTGTTTCACCAGGGGCGGGGGATGCTTTAACGGCACTCCCTGTTTGTTTTCAGATAATTCTGCAAGATATGGAAGGTTTAAGTTATATGACTTAAACAATTTAAGCAGGCATGAATATATATATATATATATATATATATATATATATATATATATATATATATATATATATATATATATATATATATTAATTTAACTTATACTTTAACTTAAAACAAGGCATTTCATTCCAAGATACATCGCGCGTATGTTTTACCTCTGTGCTTACAGCACCGTGACAAGTGCTTATGACAGGTTGTCACTCACATTGTGACATTAACTACAGTGTAATGCATGTGCTTTATTGTTGCTTTTCAAGGGGAAATATTTTAACTTTAAGTAGGACCATATAAATGCAATTTGTGACTGGAATGAAGAAGGGATTTGGAAATGAAGCGATCGTTTATTTTCCATTTGCACAAGTATTAGTACAGGTACATTGGAATGCTTGTCAGTTAAGGGCCTTGCTCAAGGGCCCACAGACATGTCACAATTCTGCCAAGGTTTGAAGCAACAGCCTTCTGATCACAGGCACAGAGTCTCAGCACTTAGTAATATAGTTGTATTTTAGTCTACATTAGTTTTAGAGAACCAGAATTGTTTTATATCAAGACATATTATTGTATTAGACTGGAGAAAGTAGAAAGGAAATTTCATTCTAAAATATTCTTTTTCATATGCAAGTCAGTTGGTAATTGTGAAAACACTAATATTGTGAGTTGGGTTCTTTAGTACTGTTTAGTAAACATTCAAATTTAATGTCCCTTCTACCAATGCTAAAGGGCTGTACTGTACTTTTTGATGGAAAGAACAAAAATTTAAATCAGGTCAGGTTGGGGAGCAAACACTGGTACAGCATGATGCTGCACCCACCACAAGATGAAACACCACTGGCAACCCCCAGGCTGACAGACGGCCCAGTCCCACTCTCCAGAAATGACCGACTATCTGCCGCAGCCAGGTGTTACGTGGGTGTCCCCTTGGCCTGGTCCAGCCCCTTGGGTCCTCAGCATTGAGGATCCTGCGAGCCGGATCACCCTCAGGGAAACGCGTTACATGGCCATAGGGCCGTAACTGACGCTCCCTTACAATGCAGGTAATGTGCCTCATTGGGGACTCCTCTGGCAACCGCTCATTCCACACAAAGTCAAAGCAACGGGACCCAAGGATTCTCCAAAGAGACACAGTACCGAAGCAGTCCAGTCTTTGTCTCAGCTCACTGGATAGTGTCTATGTCTCACAGCCATACAGCAAGAGAGGGAGCACTAGGACTCTGAAGACCTGGACTTTCGTCCTTTTGCAAAGATATCTAGAGCACCACACACCCCTTTCCAGTGACCTCATGACCCCCCATGCTCTTCCAAGCCATCTGCTGACTTCATAGGAGTCACCACAGACATGAATGTCACTCCCGAGGTAGGTAAATCTCTCGATGTGGCCAGCATTCTCTCTGCAGACAGGCACACTGCTGATGGCTGTGCCCAAGAGGTCATTAAAGGCCTGGATCTTAGTTTTTATCCAGGATACTCACAAACACAGACACTCAGACTCCTTGCTCAGTCTCTCAAGAGCCCTGATCAGAGCCTCCATTGACTCTGTGAAGATCATGGTATCGTTGGCAAGGTCAAAATCAGTATATATCTTTCGTCATCAACAGATGCCCCACAGCCGCTGAACCCCATGACCCTGCCCAACACCCATAATTTACCTATATAGATAATGATTTTTCGAATAATCGCTTAATAAATACAAAGCAGATGATTTTAGTATTTATTTTCATGTTTTTAGAATACAGAAATGTGTAACTAGTTATCCATATATTTGCATTAAAAAATCTTTCACAGTATATTTCTATAATTTTAAGTATTTATAAGGCCCTCCACATATTATATTCTTATGTGTTATTCCCTTTTATGTATGCATCAGTCACTTGAAGGTATATGAAAACCCATCTTACTAGTAGACCCTTAAAATGCTCTGTGCACTTGAAATCATTTAGCTATACATTATTTTCCTTCTTAATAATTTTCTCAATTGCAAGCCCCAAATTACTTTTCCCCCTAAATCAGTCAAGGTAAAAAAAAAAAAAGTATGAGATTCATACAGCTCTCACTGTAAAACTGTAAACTCTGTAGCTGCCGTTTTCATATATACATATTTATTTGTTCAAAAGTTCGTCTAAATAATTTGAAATTGTGCAACTACGTGAAGTTAAATAAAAGTATTGATGATAAAATTGAGATACATACCAAATCTGATTTTGTAAATTTCTGTTATTGAAGAACCGGAAAAGTGAACGTTTAAAAATATTGAAATGCAAAACTTTTTAGCCGACAATTTTGACCACATACAAATATATTTGATGTTTTCACAAAATAATTTCTTTTAGTGTTCAAAAATGTTTGACGTCGAGTAACACTTGCTTGCGCACTTTATGTCTTTAATGCTGATGCGCACCTATCGAATAGCCAATAAAAATAAGGGGCCTAGGGAGCGTCATACATTTTCCAACGTTTCACTTTTAAACGTTTAAAGAATTAAAAAAGGAAAAACTTCATGATCTATTTATAAGCAATCATGTCATTAAATGACAATTATACGCAAAACACTGCAGTTTTGAGGGCAGTTTTTCTGTCGTACATTCACCTAGCCGCACTACACCGTATATACAAATCACACTCTTCCGCGACCATCCCTAAACGTGACGCGGACGTTCCCACCATTGAACGGAAACGGTCGTACAGCGCCTCATTTGCTCGCGTGTCTCCCGATTTTCTACCTCCGCTAACACTGGTGCCAACGTTACGCTCTGCGTAGCCAAAAAGGAAAAAAAAAGACAACCCAACCGGTATTAGTAAAAGAGACAAATGAAAGAGAAATTGATCTGAATCCTCGGACTATTTTTTTTTTTATCTGGATGACAGTGTTTCGCTTTAATTTTGGAGGTGGAACTTGTGGGCCGGTGTCAAGGGTTTCCTCCGCGTTCGTGACGTCAGAGAGGAATAGAAGGAACGTTCCGTAACCAACAACAATCAGCGGCGACAGTCTCTGGCCGGGCTGGATATGGGTTCTCTTTACGCTCGGTCACAAAAGGACGCAGGCGTAGTTCACCCAGCCGGCTCCTCGGCCCCCAGAGTAGCTATGACTCTGGACCTGTAACACTCTAATTAAACCTGATCTGGATACTCTTGCACACGCTTTTGGCGTTTTATTGAATCTGCCGCGGTTGAGTTTAAGGGGAAACTCCGCCGAAATATGGCTGGCGGAGCCAGTTTACTTCCTCACTGAAATGAGTGCGATGGCAGGCATCAAGAACTTTTAGAACTGCGAGTACGCACATAGTTTGAGTTTTTTGTTGCCCTTTTTTTGGCTCTTCTGATTTTGAATTTAATCAACCGCGGAATTCATAGTGCATTACATTTAGCACGTGTGATAACCCACAGGCCTATTACTCACTATGAAGTGGATTTTAAGTCCTCCAAAAGACTAGGTAGTTGGCGACTATTTTAGTGCGCACATCAGCATCGTGAACATGCTTAAACTGACTGGGTATTTATTGTTTGTTTAAATAATTGATTATCAAGTTGTAGCGGCGTGAAAGTGATGAATAATCGGCCAGCTTGCGTCGTAACGTCATTTTGCTTTGTTTAGCTAGCAGCCTAGCTATATGGAGATTTAGAAACAAAAGCATTAAGTACTTGCGTATCCTGCCATCGACGGCAAGCGGTATATTTAGTTTGTTAATAAATGCCGAACTCCGCGGCGGTTCAAGACGGTCGGAGAAGGAGTCCTTCCGAGCATGAGGATCGTCGAAGTAAAGGTAAAGCAGCTTTGTGCCAGGACGAAGAGCGTCGGGGGAAGAGGCGATCGTCGTCCTCCCGGCGGAAAAAGCGCAGACATGCGAAGGGGAGAGAGCGGCGTGCGGAAGAGGAGCCACACGGCGGCCGGAGGAGCGTGTTTGAGAAAGACGGTGAGATCCGGACTTTGGTGGAGTACGACGATGTCAGTTCCCAGTCCGAGCGCTTCTCGGAGAGCCCCTCTCCGAAAGCGGACGGCGGTCCGGACGCCCAGCGACTCGCCCAGCGGCGGATGGGCGAAGCGGGCGCCTTGGACGGCTGCAGCCCGACGTCGCCGGGCAGGCGATCGAGGAAGGAGCGTCAGTCTACGCGTCCTCGGGTGGACAAGCACGATAAATTAAAGAAGGAGCACGGGAGGAAGGAGCGAGGTGGACGAGATGGGGAGCTGCCCTCCAAGCTCCCAGACGGCTGCATAGGAAACCGGCGCGGCGCGGAGGGCGTGCGGGACTGCGACTACAAGAAGGGCACATTACCCCCAATGTCGCCGAGCAGAAAGTCACCCAGACACAAAAGTAAGACGAAGCCAGAAAAAGAGCCGCCATCTGCGTATAAGAACAGTGCAAAATCTTACGGGGAAGAGCGCGATGAACTTAAGGCCTATAGGAGCAGCCCTGCCGTCAGAGACGAAAGTCCCTACAGGGCTTCCTACTCACAAGGCTATGGATACCAGTCACCCAGTGCCGGCTATAGCCAGTATATCTCCAGAGGGAGCCCCAGTTACGGCGGCAGGAGACGGTCTCCAAGTCCTTATTATTACGGCAGGGATGTGGAGGTACAAAGCAACTACGTGTCCGAATCTCCAGGCTCTTACTACGGCAGGCGGAGGCACCAATCCCCCGGTAGCCCCTACAGCAAGCGGAGATCCACCAGCTACACCCGGCGTAGCCCGTACGAACCGGGGGAGTTCAACTCCAGCCCCTACGGCGGTCGACGGAGATCACGGAGTCCTTACAGAAAGTCCTTCAGCCCAAGTCCGGACTCAAGGTAAAAAAAAGCCCGGTTTTGCTTGTGAAATATCTGTAGTTTCCGGATCGACCGTGTCATGCGTGTGAAACACGTGTGTGCGCGCGTGCATCTTTAAACGTATATAGTATAGGCCAGTCTGGTTTTCCAGGCTTAGTGCTGAACATTTCGGAGTTTTTGCGTTTTGTTCAGTCGATTTAAATACGTGCAGGTTAGTGTTGAGGCTGTGCGGTTCAGCAGTGTCACAGGTGGATTACAGTTTGCCTGTTTGGATGCCGGATACTTTCATGGTCCAAAGGCTTACGGTTTAGGTGAATTTGTCTTAAGATGATCTAATGGTGACCTGCCATGGACATAAATATCACCAGGTACTGCTCTGCCTTGTGCTTGCTAAGTTTATATGTTTAAAGAAAAATAAGTTTGATGCTGGGGGGAGTTGCACGGGTAGGTAGATGCTTATGCAAGATGGATGACTGTACAACCTGAGTTGGGTTACTTTTTAACTTTACCGTTGTGTCTCGCCCAAGGTACAACATGGTGGCTCCACCAGGGGCTTGCATTGACAACTATTTAGACTGCAAGTTCATTAAATGCCATACTGTTCTTCCCTGACAAGTCAAATGCGTCTGCTTTGAAAGTAACTCCGTTAAATGAAACCGCACTGCTTGATCAAAACTAAGAAGATCACTAGGAAGGTTTGTGATATTTTATATGTATATATATTTTCCTCTGATGTGCTCTGGGGTAGACTGCAACTTGTTTCAGGGTCCCCTGTGCATTCTGGGGTATTAAGATTCACCTTAAGGCTGTATTGAATAAACGTAGAATTATTGTCTTATTTTTGCCTGGATTTAACTCTCTTTTTTTTGGGAAGGTGAGGCTGGTAAGATGTAGTCTGTATTGACTTAACACAAGTACAGTCATACGCCATGGATAATTTGACCAGTTTGCCTAAATGCATGTCTTTGTACTACAGGAGGTAACTTAGACAACATGGAGAGAACATGCAGACACTACATGTACTTAATTTAGTGGATTCTTTTGCTCAAAGCGATGTACAAGTAAGAAAAATAGCACATTACGAACTTGTAGACTTTACACACATTGGGGTGGAATTTGAAGCACAAATTCCAGAGGAGTGAATCAGGAGTCCTACCATTTTTGTGCCACTGTGCTATTTTAATGTTAAAAAATGATTTTTTTAAGTCTTCTGAAAGACTAGGTGGTTATTGTGCATATCAGTATTGTTGAGACAGTAGATTTTTGGGGAGTTCAATTTTAGGACAGGGGATGGATTTGATTGGCTTAACATGCAGATTTCCAGTTAGCATTCATTCAGTGATGACTCATCGTTAAGTAATTGTTCGGTCCTGTTGTTTAAAGCTCTCAACAGTGGCATAAACTGATGACTGCTGCGAAAAAGGTATTGGGGTTTCATAAATGATACATCTCTCATTTTATGAGAACTCATTAAACAGAAGGCAGATCTGGTGTCCCTAACAACCTCAAGTGGAGTGCAATCCTTGTTTTTACACTAAACTTTTTTTACTGAAAATTAATAGCAACAGTCATTGTTGGCTGTAGATGTGATTTGAGTGAAATATGAAAGAACTCGCATAATTTTTATGTCACGTCTGAATGGGCCTGAATTTGTTGTAAATAAGTTTATCAACTTAAACTTCTAGCAGTTCTCATCCCAAACATCATACAGCCACAACTGATGTAAATGCCCCGTATTTGTGTAATTAAGTGGCGTTGCATTTCTGCACTTAACATTTCCCATCCAAGTGAAAGTCTCCTTTGTCATAATCAGTGTAAAAAGAAGCAAAATCTTCAAAATTTTATAGCTACATTTACAGAACCTGTGGCAATTGCACATATAAACATCTCATACAGTGTGTAACAATGTGTTTTATGGTCTTTTGTACCCTCCTGTGTTTGAGACGACCTTGTATTCACTTGTTTACTTTCAACTACTATAGTATTTAGTTACAGTAATTACTTTTGTTCAAGTATTTTATAACATATAATTCGTATTCCACTTACTTTTTTTTTCTGCTTACGATGAGTTCATCGGAACACAACCCCATCATAAGTTTTGACACTAAAACCTGTGGTGATCCAGAATCTTCTAGTTTAGTGATCATTAATGAAACCTGAATTTTCTTAAGTTTGCCATTTCTGGCAGTGTGCAGGGAATAATTTTCAGGAGGCTTTGCGCAGAATTTAAGTAATTAGTTTTTTTTAAGCATGTGCTTGGTATTAGTGATGTATGTTTGAATTGTTAAACTGAGCCTAACCAAATGTTACAGAATGTCGTTAAATTTGCCGTGCACAGTTACCGTTTGAAATTAGTTCAAAGAAATATTTTGGAGTGTGACAATGCATGTGGTTTTAGGGGTTTTGCTGCGTTATCTGGATGCTCATCACCTACACCTCTGTTATAATGCAGTGCTATTTGCATACAAGCTTTGTGTGATCACCTATATACTGCATAATGGAAATTGGTGTACAGCAGTGTTTCCTAACCTTGTCCTCCCTCCCAGCTACCTGCCAGACAGTCCATATTTTTCGTATGGAGCTGGGAGGAAGCAGAAGTGTGGACTGTCTTGGGGTCCCCAGTGTCTTGAAGCTTATTCTTCAATACATTAATTGTAGCCACTGACTTGTTTGAATTAAGTTTTTAATTTTGTTGCTTCAAGGGGCATGAAGGAGAAGAAAAACGTTGATCCAGTATCTTTTCCGTTTTAAGATGTTTGAAGAATAAGCTTTAGTTAATTGTGGATTTTTTTTTTTGATCAATTCTGAAAAAGTGTCTGTCTAAATTCTCTGAATGATAATGTCCATTGAGGAGGGAGTTTACATTTTTGGGTACAGAAGAATTCCACCCTCTGATTTTGCCTAGAGTTGTTACTGTTCTGATTTGTTGTGGGATTTTGTGGATAAAATATTATGTGTGATCTGTCAGCACCAGCTTCATGCATTACTGCCTGTGTAAGTTTGTATGTAAGTTGCGATTTCCCTGCCTCTGCCGTTCATTTTTCTGTGTCCTTTGCATTTCTGATAGTTGGAAACATAAATTAATGTTAACGTTGTTCTCTCTCCACCCCCCACCCCCCCCCCAAATAACAACAACAAAACAATCTTTCAAATGGCCACAGTTCACAATGAAAACTGAGCACAAAAATGTTTTTTTTTTTCTGATTTGCTGGAATGTGAATTAATGTGTAGTAAGTTACCAAGTTTCAGTGAATTCACCCTTTTATTGCACAGCTTGATTAATCTGAGCATGGTACAAAGCCATCACTTTGAGAAAGAGTCAGTGATTTGAAAACAACCACTACACAATTTTATTTGATTCTGGGTTATTTTATCACATCAGCTTGGTGTAATGTATAATTCAGAATGTGTGGTGTTATTAATGTATCTTAATTGCTTAACTGCCTATAAAAAGTAAACAGCTCTATATCCTCATGAGTTACTGTTAAAAAAAGAAGCAATGAAATTGACCAACTTTAAGATAGTAACTTATCCAGGGCCATTTTAGTGTTTAATTGGTTACAATTTTAACAAAAGAATATTTTGTATGGCCATAGGTGGAAATTAGCAGGAGAACATTTTAAACTGAATTTAAGAAAACTCTTCTTTATAGTTAGAATGTGGAATAGTCTTTCTGTTAGTGTACTGCAAGCTAAAACCTTGGGTTCCTTTAAATCAGAGCTAGATAAGATTTTAACAACTCTGAGCTATTAGTTAAGTTCTTCCCAAACGAGCTTGATGGGCCGAATGGCCTCCTCTCCTTTGTAAATTTCTTATGTAGCATTATAGCTTGAACTTATACCAAATTTCCCCCCCCTTTTTAAGTTGGGTGTTTTTATTTCCATCAAAGGTACCAGGCCTTTGTTTTTTGTTAAACTGCTATGTCATATAAGTCATGTATTCATAGTCATTAAGTGAGTCACAGGCTGCATGAAAAGCAGGTATAGACTATTTTCGGATTTGAACAACAAAAATCCTTTCTATTGATCAGGTGTGTTAACCAACTGCTTAGATGTTTGGATTTGAATTCCTCCTAGTTACAAGTCAAATGCATTCCCAAATTCTGCTCATAAGGTTGAATCTCATGAATTGGAGATGTAATCAGAGTTACTTTCAAGGAGAACCATATTTAAGCACTTGATATGCAGGGGCCAGTTTGATATTCCGTGGTCCCCACTGAAAACATTTGCCTTTTAGGCTTTGTAAACAAAAATTGTAGAGGCCTAATATGATATTAACTAATAAGAAGTCAAACGCCTTCAGAGAGACAGTTGGTGGTTTCACGACCCAATCTGTACTACCTACCTGATTTTACCTCACACGTCTGCACCACCCAGTGTGTTCATCCTGCCATTTTACGGCAAACCATTCTACATTTACAGCAAACTAAGCTGGATAACTTACTGAAATTAAGCTAGTTATAAACCCCTTCAATATTATGCCTCCTACACGATATTTGGCTCCTGGCTGTAGTGATATACCTCTCAGAAATCTGGCTTTGTGAAACATAAGGCCCTGGTGTTAATGATTGTATTGACTTAAAAAAATCCATTTTCTTCGCTTGTCATTTTAAGTGTTCACTGGTCGTCTGTTTCAGGTTGCTACCTAAATAACCACTAACCATCTAAAAAGTATCTATATTGCTCCGAAATGGTACGATCAGAAATAAACTGACAAAATAGCATACATTTTTCTAGTTCTTTATCCTTTTGGCATAATATACTGACCTCACTACTACGTAATAGTGACAGCCGTCAGGGACACGTACAGTCATCCTACCGCCGCAAGACGTATAAACACACTCTTGGACTCAAGTACAGGTGCTATGCAGAACTTTTATTGAACAGAGAACACAAGGAATCGTAATATCTGGCTGATATTCTGGGCAGGTGGAGATCGCTCTCAAGCAGCCTGTAAAATGAACCTGAAGTAGTGAAAAGAAATACTAACGGGACCAGGCCGGGTCATGAAAGTGTTGTGAAACGAAGTGGTACAAATTTGGCACAATCATAAAATTTCCTGTGAAGTAGCACGTCTGTGCATGTGCAGCGTTAAACGTACAAACGGGTAGTAACGGTTTAGAAGCATAATGAGATATCATTAAAAAAGCACCAGTCATATGTATTTACATGGTAGAGAGCGATATGTAAATAGTGATAGAAATATGACGGTTCCGTCTCATCTAGCTATTGTAATACAAATTCTAACGATTATGCAAAAAACCATTATTGCGGTCAGTTCAAATAATCGTGGTCAGACAGTTGTGTAATAATTGTGACAGGCCTAGTGTGGTGAGTACCTGGTATAGGTGTGTTAGCAGCTGGGGGAAAGCAAAAATGTGGACTACCCCTGAGTTGAGAAGTTGGGTTAAGAAGCAGCGATTTAGCAGACCCTTTGTCCAAAGTGAAATGATGTGAGATTAAAAGAACGCGTATGAGAATCGTAGTGCACCACTGGAAACACTGGAAAGTTACGGAGATGGAAAATACAGACTAATGTTCAGTAAATCATTTCACTCATATTTACGAGGAACTATTGTATATCTTATTGTATATCTACTCTTTCCCTGGTGCCATAAACCCCCCCCCCCCCACAGCCGTGGCCCATACCCGTCGTCACGGCGATCCCGATCCCGCAGCCGTCCCTCCAGCCTCTCCCCCAACACCCTGACCTTCAAGAGCAGCCTGGCCGCTGAGCTTAGCAAGCAGAAGCGGATCAAGGCATCCGAGGCAGTGCGGGCCAAGAGCTCCAGCAGCACTTCTACACCCACCAAGGCCTCATCCTCCTGCTCCGCCTCCTTCTCCGCCTCCTGCTCCGCCTCCTGCCCCCAACCCAGCCCCAGTGCCAACCACGCCCCCAAGAAGAGCCAGCCACCCTCTCCGCCCCCCGAGAAGGAACCCAAGCCCTCCGAGGCTAGTCGCCCTCAGCCCCCCGTCGATGGGACCCCTGAGATGGAGCCGCTGCATCCTGACAGAGAAACTGGGGGGGTGGATATCTGTCCAGCGCCTCCCCAGAGCAAGAAGACGCCCAACACGTCAGCCAACAGCAAGGATGCGGAACGTCTGGTCACAGCAACCGCCTCCACGCCCACCCCCCTGCCTGTGCCCCCCGCCATCCCGGAAAATGTTGATGGGGCTGATGGGTAAGGCACATGAATCAAAACCGATTAAGCTAAGGAGCAGCCTAATGAAGCCTATTTCTTGCTATTTGGTTAAGTGGCGTGGTGTTCAACAGTTGTAACTGATTTCAGTATTTTATTCGGAGGATCATATGTGCATGTTGAATGTGATCACAAGTGATTTAAAATTTTTGCTAGACTTGCAGTTATAAAGTATCGATAGAGTGAATAAACTGGAATGATGATTCACTTCCTGTTAAATTTTTAAGGCAGTGATTGCCTGCACATCAATCGTGGCTGTTTGATCTACTCTAGGATATTTGTATTGACCCACAATGGTGGAAAGTGTGTGAGGAATAGCAGCTTTAAATGTTTAGCCTCTGTCCTTTTTCCATTTGTGTTTTGATTCTTTTTTTTGAATGTTTCATTTGAAATCCAGGTTAGTTTGTTTTCAGTGTAATTAAAAAATATAATATGAATAAAACTTCTATTTATTTTTTTATATTAGTTTTAGTAATTTTATTACTTAGACTCAAAGTTGTGATTGTATTTTATGAATGAATACATAATGCTCATTACATGCTAATGTCCTCAAAATGGGCAAAATATCTCCCAGGTATTATTAATAGTCATTAAGCAAATAATTTCTTTAGTTAAATAGCATTAAAAATGGTAACAAAACATTTCTTTATATTTATCTTGTATTTCAGTTTCCGAAAATGTTTTGCTATAACTTCAGTTTTAGCCTTTGTTCACGGTAATGACCCTGTTCACTGTGGCCGACAGTGTGAAGGACTGTCTGCTGCCCCGTCCCTCCAAGAAGAAGGCAGAGCCGAAGCCTTATACCCTCAGCTCCCTGCCCCTGCCGCCCGAGCCTCCGGCAGCCAATCCCAAAGCCTCCCTAAGTCCCTCTGAGGACACAAAGGCCTCCGCTGCCCGCCAAAGGCCCAGGTATCTCCTGTCCCATGATCTCCCTCATCTTCAGCTCACACCTTGGCCAGTTCCTGTCAGTAGGTTGTTTTTCCCCCCTTTGTCGCTACATCAGCATCTTCTCCTCCCTGATGCCTTAATCTCCCCCCAGGATATGCGGCCCCCGGTTTGGCGAAATCAAGGAGGCCGGGATTGACTGGGGGAAGCGCTGTGTGGACAAGTTTGAGATCCTGGGCATTACTGGAGAGGGGACCTACGGGCAGGTGTACAAGGCCAAGGACAGGGATACAGGTGAGGAGCTGCTCTTCGTGCCAGTGGTCGCCAAATCATGCTTTTGTTTTTCTGTACTTCAGTCCTTTCAAAGGTATTCTTGTGGTTAAACGGCAGTTTTTCCTCAACCTTTTTGGATCAAGTGCCACTTCGTATCAATCCAGAATAGCTGAATACCACGTGTAGGGTGCCATGTAAGAAAAAAACATCTTAATGGGCCGTAAAACGATTAAGAACATTTATTTTTATATCAAGTAATTTTGCATCAATTAAAATGTTCAGTTTCTTACTTATGCAGTGCACACAACAAATTACTGCAGTCTTCTATCTTACCACTTGGGGGAGCTCCAGGTTTCACTGGTGGTAGAAGATTAAAAAAAAAAAAAGAAAAGCTATCACTGCATCATTACACTTTGATTACTATGTAGACTCTTCTTAATTGTGTGACATTAATGCTGTGCAAAGTAAACAAAGCTGATTAGCATGGTTGTTAAATTGGTGTCATGTCAGTTGTGTTAATTATAATTAATATGATTATAACAAATGTCACAGCTGAAATGGTAGCCCTAAAGAAGGTGCGGCTGGACAACGAGAGGGAGGGCTTCCCCATCACGGCTATCCGCGAGATTAAAATCCTCCGTCAGCTCAACCACCGGAGCATCATCAACATGAAGGAGATAGTCACTGACAAGGAGGACGCCGTCGATTTCAAGAACGACAAAGGTGTGCCCTCTACATTTCAGGAGGCTGGCTTTGTGTCCGCGACTTATGTTCTCAAGAATATCAGCTGGTACTGGGCAATAATGGCATCGCCTGTCCATTACTAGTCCTTTGCTGTATTTAAATAAAACTCCAGTCTCTATGGATCATTGTTTCAATTTTATTAGATTAAACAGTACAAGGGTAGTGCAGTTTGTAACACTATTACCTCACATCTCTGGGACCAGGGTTCAAGTCTCTGCCATGGCTCCATGTGTGTGGAATTTGCATGTTCTCCCCATGTCGTCATGGTGTGTGTGCATGCTTGCGTGCGTGCGCCCGCCCTGAGATGGGTTGGTGCCCTGTCCTGGGTTCTTTTCTTGCTTTTCATTTGTAGCTTTGAGGATTCTCATTGGACCCCCATTATCCTGAATAGGATGAGTGGGTACAGAAGATGGAAGCATAGATAGATAAACGGACACATTATGCATACTTTCGACTTTGCAAAATGGATTTATGCTCATATTTTAAATTAATTGTAACTGATGTACATCTCTCCATCTTCCAATTGTGTGTCATAAAGAAATAGTAGAGCGATCTTCATCAATGAGGATTGTCAATATATACTGTGCATGGGTAACAAGGAATATAAAGTTAGCTTAATTAGCTAATTCTATGGACCCAAATCTGTAATTGTAGCATTTTCATGACTGGGTGGTGTTGTCTAGGAAACGATCCAGTGTAAGGAGGGTACTGTGGTGTAGGTGGTCGCATCAGTCTGGGTGGTCCTGACCATGAGCTGCTTTCTCCAGGAGCATTCTACCTGGTCTTTGAGTACATGGACCACGACCTGATGGGGCTGCTGGAGTCAGGCCTGGTCCACTTCAACGAGAACCACATCAGGTCCTTCATGCGGCAGCTGATGGAGGGCCTGGAGTACTGCCACAAGAAGAACTTCCTGCACAGGGACATTAAGTGCTCCAATATCCTTCTCAATAACAGGTAGGGGAGGGGGGGCATCTATGCGATTGCGATTGGTAAACATGTCGGCAGTCTTTCTCATTTCGTTTGTTTAATTGTATATGTATGTGTGTGTAAAAAACCTATGATTTCAATGTATGAATGACTAGGATTGTGTGTGTGTGTGTGTGTGTGTGTGTGTGTGTGTTGTATGAACGCAGGCAAAAACAAAAAAACTGCCATTTGCCTCACTTGTACATCATTTTGGACAAGTGTCTCTTAAATGCAAAGGCAAAAGAGAAAAACAGTAGATTGAATGGATGGGTTAGTATTTTGTATTAATGGGCTGTTAAAGGGTTTTCTCTGTAATTTGAGGTGTTTAGAAAGTGGAACCAGATTTAGTTGAAATGTGTGAGTTTCGCTTGCCACCGACTGGCGCTGTGGAGCACCACCTCTAAGTTGACCTTTAAAATGTCTGCCTCTTTACACTAGGGGGCAGATTAAGCTCGCAGATTTCGGCTTGGCCCGTTTCTACAACTCTGAGGAGAGGTCAGTGCGAGTTTCAATGCGTGTTCCATTCTCTCAAATTCCTTTAATTTTCTGAATGTTTTTTTGAATTTTAATTGTCATAAGAGCATTTATAGTGTATTTTGTTGTGACATAATATGTCGGTCAGATCTGGGTGCATTACAAAGTGGGATTTCAGTCACCTAATGACAAATTCTGGTTTTTATTTTAAATCTTAATATTAAAGCAACCAAAAACATGAAACTATACTGTTGTGGGTGATGCCTTCTTTTGAAACCATTTTGTATCTTGTTAATTTGCTTGTACAAAGTCAGGTGTCAGATGATGTGTTTACGGTGAAGTCTCTATTTCTGGGCACCTGCTGATTGATTTGTTGGGTGTCTGTCGGTCTGAAGATTCTCAGTGCGATGCTAACGTGGCGCTATGTGTCCTGCAGCCGTCCCTACACCAACAAGGTGATCACCTTGTGGTATCGACCACCTGAGCTACTGCTCGGAGAGGAGAGGTACTCTCCATCCATTGATGTCTGGAGCTGTGGGTAAGAACCCTTTGAAGATGCAGGGGTCCTTGAAATTGCTTATTTTGTGACCCTTTATCAAGCATTCAGATTAGCAATCTTGCAACATCTCAAAGTAGAAGTCTATATTTCTTGGTTTGGTATACCTTTGATAGCAATTATGCGTAGGTAAAATTTACGGGTTGGATTTTTGAAAAAGTAAAGATTAAAAAAAAAAAATTGAGTACTTGCTGAGCTGTTATTCAGCGTGTCCTTTCCGGTGTTTCCACAAAGTGGTAACCTTAACCATTTGGTTGCAGTGACAGTTACAATAAGCATATATGCATTTTTAGTCAAAGCAGGCATGAAGACAGATGTTAGAAACTGTCCTGTAGCAATTTAAGACATTGTGCACTCACGCAAATGTCATGAAATGAAACCTTGTCTCTCATACCGAAGTACTTGACATAATCAGTTTGGTGAACCCAGATGCAGTCTGCTTTTAAGCCTGCCTGATTGTTGTTAATGTGATAATTGCCTGGCATCGTGTTCTGAAACTGAAACTTTTTTTTGTAGTAACCAGACATGCTTGTGAAACACAAAATAAGGTGGTGATTTAACTAGAGGAAAAAGTGAAAACAGCGTTTTCACCCTTCTGGGTTTTAGCATTTGCCTTGCTTCACTTTTCATAATGCCTAGTTTACGACACAGTTTCAGCCTACTATCATTGGCATTCAAATCCTCGATTGTCTGTAGGGGTGCAGGTTGTTTTGAGGAATAGGTTAGTGGTGTAGATGTTACTTTGGGCCTGCAACTCTGGTTCTGAGGAACTAGTTTTTTAGGCCACTAACCTCATCCTCTCCTCAGTAGGTTTTGGGCTCAATTCCTTGTCAGACCTTGGCCTGTTACATTCATATACCCTGTTTTCTCCTACAGATGCATTCTTGGAGAACTGTTTACAAAGAAGCCCATCTTCCAGGCCAACCAAGAGCTTGCCCAGTTAGAGCTAATTAGGTGGGTTCTGAATGTAAATGTTGGGAAATGCACCTCAAATATCTCATTGTTCCCTTAACCCTAGTAGGGTTGTTTATGATTATTGTAAACCATAGAACAATGCTCCCCAGCTGGGCTTTTATTCAGAAGGCAGGTTTACTGGTCAGACGCACAACTCGCGTGACTGTTTTTGGTTGTCTCTCTCAACTGTTGTCTTGACCCCTTTGTTGTTTCGCCAACCCAGCCGTATCTGCGGGAGCCCGTGCCCGGCTGTGTGGCCAGACGTGATAAAACTGCAATATTTCCACACCATGAAGCCAAAGAAACAATACCGCCGACGACTGAGAGAGGAGTTTGCGTTGTAAGTCCCTGCCAGTCGTGTTCAGAATGCTTCTGATTATTTATGTCGTAGTGGTCATTTAATATCTCCTGGGCAGAGTTGTAGCCCATTGAGGACTTGGACTGCAGCCCAATTTTTCCTCCAGGATTGCGGGTTTGAATCCCAGCTTTCCTTTATCTGTGTTTATGGATATTGCATGTGATGGACCTGCATAGTTAACCTTCAGCGAGCTTTTTCTGGATAAGAGTTAACATTCCATTTGCAGAAGGTTTGTCTATATAAGATGTGAAATATGACTGTAGGCTTAAACCAAAATAACAGAAATTAGGTCTGAAGTCAGATGGCTTGTGCTTTTTATTATTATTGTACTGTCGATCCACCATGGATGTTGCACTAGTCCTTCAGCAGTGTGTGCGTCCAGCAGTGCAGGCAGCTGTTTACAACAAACCAATGTCGTAATTAGCTACTTCATAGTTTATGGTTTGTCAAGGTAGCAGCCAATCAGTGCTAGTGATACATTTATGGCCACACCTCCGCAAGAGTTACTCATATTAGTGCAATATTCCGTATATAAGACCTAATGCTGAAGCTCCGTGGCCTCGATGTTCCTAACGCTTTGCCTCTGCTCCCACGGCAGCATCCCCGGCTCAGCCCTGGACCTCTTCGACCACATGTTGGCGCTGGATCCCAGTAGGCGCTGTACGGCCCAGCAGGCCCTGAACAGCGAGTTCCTCAGGGACGTCGACCCGGCCAAGATGCCGCCCCCAGAGTACGTGAGGCGAACTGCCGGCCTTCGTGTCGTCAGAGTGCTTGGGATCTGACATTTATTACGTCATTCTCCTGACCTGAACCTCGGGGCGGTTGAGTTGTTTTTGCACAGATTTATAAATCAGTAATTAAAACAGCAGTACAGATTGCAGATTTAAACATTGTTGATTTAGAGGGTTTCAAAGAGTTTGTGGCTAATCCAAGATGTATGGTTACACAGTTTATAATACAGCTCATAAATCAACAAAAAAGTTGTATGATGAGCCTTTGCATATATATCACATATATTCGTTAAGAATGGAATCTTATGGGAAACTGAAATCATTAAAATCAGGCAGTTGCAATATTTTAACAGCAGTGTATCTTTTTTTAAGCATTAAAATAGCATCTTGTGAAGCACATTGGACCGCATGATTTTTTTTTGTCATTTTAATATAGTGTTTGTTTTAGCATCATATGTTACTGATGTTCACTCCTTTCTTATTTTGCCTTTCTATTATCCTGTTCATAAATCAAAACCCCATTATTTTTTACATCTGTAAATCTCACTTTATCCACTTCCAAGAGTGCTGTTTAAATATTGAAAAGCAGCTAAATCTTAGTCCGAATCTTATCCTCAAAAAGCAAATGTAATATAACAAGCTTATACTATTTGGGCAAATTATTTTTCCTTTTACGTACACAGATTTCCAAACCACTGACCCTAACCGAATCCATCATGTGCTGTTGCAGCAAACTGTACCCTTGTACTGACCCCCCTTCCGCCTCCCCATAGCCTCCCCCTGTGGCAGGACTGCCATGAGCTTTGGAGTAAGAAGCGCAGGCGGCAGAAGCAGGCGTCCGAGGAGGTGCCCGTGCCAAAGGCCCCCCGCAAACAGCTGGGGCCTGACGACAGCCGGAGTAGCACACCCCAGGGCTGCCCCGCCTCCGGGTCGCTCAAGCAGCCAATCGGTGTAGCCACCATGACCCTGGGTACGAGGCTCCTCTCTGCATGACATCTTAAACAACTGGGTGTTTATTTTCAGGCTAAAAGTTAGACGCCTCGCCTGATGACACGTTCATAAGTGACCAATTTCTTGTCCTGTTAACTACAAAAGTGTATAAAATATTCTAAAATAAAACCTTTTATTTAGTTAAATGACTAGTGTCACTTGGAGCTGCCTGACTATAACCTGCTGAGAAAAAAATTTGGGGAAAAAATTAATTTGATTTGACAGGAAGAGGAAGTTGGCAAGGTCACACCCCAACGTGTCATCGTAAAGCCCTAACTGTCCTACTTAAGGAACAATAGGGCTTAATGACATGGCATGTATAGTATGAAAGTCATGAGCCAGCACATAATGTCCACTACAGAGGGCAAAAATGAATTACTGATTTTTTTTTTCTTTTTAAACTGGTGCTTGATTTGAGTCTGAATTCTCACAGAATAGAGAGAAGATGGAGGGATGTTTTACCCATTTTTTTTTCCTGTCTGCCCACAGACCCCAAAGCATCCAGCTCCCAGCTGACCCAGGAGCAGCTGGCCTTGCTGCTGAATCTGCTCCAGTCCAAGAGTACACCCGGCGCTGCCCAGTTCGCCGGCCTGCCCGTCACCCTGGACACCCTGCAGCAGCTCGCCCAGAAGCCCCCGGGCAAGGCGGAGAACCTTCCGGAGGCCGCTGCTGCCGTACCTGGGCAGGCCAAGACCGAAGGGGAGGACGCTGGTGTGGGCACGCCGGCCGCCTTTGCTGTGCTCCTGGCCCAGCTGCTGAACGCCCAGCAGAAGCAGGCGAAGGACTCTGCTGACCAGGGGGAGGCGCTAGAGTGTTCTGCTGAATCCAAGGCTGCGGTGGGGGCACCAGAGCCTCCCCCAGAGCCCAGCCCAGTATCACCAGGTAAACACCAGAGCCCCCCCCCCCGCAGTAAACATGAAGAGTAACATTAGTTCAGTTGCGTCAGTAATTACCTGAACTACATACTCATGTTGGCTGAAATCATAATCAATTTCTCATTGTCTGTCTTTAAAGTTTTAGCTGTAAACCCAGTGGATTTATACTCCGTAGTCCCTGGTCTCATTGTTGGTCCTCCTGTGTTCTCAATAAGCCTCAGTTGAGTCTCCGAATTCAACATGTAGGTGCGAACAGTGTCAAAGCAAATCCAAGTGTCGAATGTCTCCAACATACTGAAGTCACTCTAACCATGAATAACCGCTCAAGCCTTTATCAGTTTATACTATTTGTCCTTGAATCAGTTTAAATCAGGCTATCTAGTTTGTCTTCCAGCAGGTTCTGGATGCTAAGGCGTCTGTAGACATTTAAGCCCTTTATAAACATAATGCTTATGAATTAGATTAGGAAATCGGTCTCTTGTGCTTCAGCGCTCAGCAAAGACAGACTTGAAAGTAAACCCCCTGGTCAGATCTGGACACCCCTGGTTGCACATGATTAAATTTGCCAGGTTGCTCTTGGGGAGTTAGCTGACCTGACTCTTTCCTTAATTGTTTCAGCAAACTCGTTTAAATAGCCGCACATGGACCACTCTGATCTCTGCTGCTCATTCCCCCCTGCAGTGTCTGAGGGCAGCAGTGTATCCGCTCCACATCAGCCCCCCACTGCCGTCGAGCTGCCCTTGATCCTCCCCCCGGATCAGAGGCCCCCGGAACCACCGGAGCCACCGCCGCCTCCATGTGGCGACGTGCAGTACAGACAAAGCTTGGACGCCAGCAGCCAAACAAAGAACGTCCTGCAGCCAGTCAGCAGTGGCAGTTCAGGGCTGCCCCCTGAGCCCGATTACCCAGCTCCCCCTGCCCCTCCGCCGCCGGAGCCCCCCAGCTTCACTGGTTACGGTCTGGCTGATGGATTCACACCCTTGCCCCCGCCCCCACCCATGCCCATACCCTCTCCAAACTTTGCTCCCGGCTTCCTGGTTGGCGGGGTGCCCTCCCACCCCCAAAGGGAGCTGTTTGGCGGCGCAGCACCAATGCCACCGCCCTCCTTTGCGAGGCCACCGGTGCCACCTGGTTACAGAGACCCTTTTCCCCATGGTACACCCCCTGTTGGCAGCGGCAAAGGTAACAGCGTGATGTTCACGGGTGACCGAGACCACCGCTTCGACTGCAACCACATGCCCCTGCCTATGGAAGGCCTTCCCCACCCTGGCGGCATTGGGCTCTACAACCACAGCACGAGCCAACAGGATGGTGTGCTCTGCCCTCCGGTTCCACCCATGGCTCCTCCCCCAGTGATGCCCCCGGGTCTGCCTCCGGCTCTGCCTCAAGTGCTGCCGCCGGGACCTCTCCCAGGTCGTCCTCCACCCCTAAGACCGGGTTGGGACTCCCTTTCCCAGGCTGGGGCACCCCCCTTTCCCCCCTGCTTCCTCCCACGCACGAACGCTGCAGCATTGAGGGGGCGTGGCCTTCCATTCTGATTGGGAGGGGTGAGTGACAAGGTCAAGCCCAAGCGTCCAATCAGCTTGAGCGAAGCGCACTCAGGTTTCCATGACATAGTAAACACAAACTTGATTTGTTAAATTATAATGAATCCTAATGGAATAAAGCAGTATTCCCTGTATCTGGGAAGAATATGTACGTGAACCAGGCAAGGATGGGAGAGCAATTTCTCTTCCCCTTACCAATTTTGTAAGGTTTTTAAACTGTTTTACTGCTGTTTTTGAGTTTACATTTACCTGGTCAGGTATTTCATTTCGTTATTTTTACCTGTAAACAAGTTTTTCGCTTATGGATTAGTATTAACAGGTTTTGAACCTCAAGGAAAATGTAATATTAAATCTGTGAGCTACTTATATGGAATGAGGATGATGGGTAATCTACACTTGGACCAGTTGTAGTAATACAAGTGTTTTCATGTTTTGGTTCTGCAGAATTATTTTGATTATCACACCTAGGGATTTTAATTGATAATCCCGAAAGGTCTTTTTTTTTTTTCTTCTTCTTCTTCTTCTTCTTGAGAATAGATCTACAACCTTCTGTATCCATTCTGCTTCTTTTATCATCACTGTCTTTTTTCCCCCAGGTAAAAAAAGGACAAAAATCAGGTTAAAAAAACGCAAAAAGCTGTTAGTCATTTGTGGCTTTTTGTATGATGATTTTCAGGCACAAGTTTAATAAAGAAACGGATGAGCCCGTGTTCCAGTTTTGGCAGTTTTCAAGTGACTGTTCGGCCGGTTAGCCATGCACCCTCACACACCCACAGTCGTGGACGAAGATCCTCAGGTAGGGTGAGGATAAGCGCACTGCACCCCCACTGAGCGCGACAATAGCCAGCCCGCTTCATGAGAGCAGGGGTTGGAGTGATACTTGCCTGATCTGTCTTCAGCCCTTTAGGTGCCTCATCACTGTTGCTGTACAGTTGCGAGAGGGAGATGAACCCAGTTGTATACACTACCTGGTAGTCCAGTCTTGAGCATAGCCCACGGGACTGGAGTGGGGGGTGGTAATTTTTGGAGCACATTAAGAATGCAGTGCTGGACAATTACATCAAAATACCTATAAATACTTTTAATGCAAACTGATAGAATCCAACTTTTAATTATTCATGTTTTATCTGTGTTTTTTTATAATTAAAAGTTAGTGTATACTCAGAGGTTATATGGGAGTTTGTGGTTCACGTGTTTCACGGTCTCAAGTATTCCTTGCACAGTTTGTTGCAGCACAGCAAGGATCACATCCTGATCCTCAGTATAGGATGGACTTATTGTTGCTGGTGTTCCACTGACAAAACCCCATGTTTACTGCTGTTTAATAATAGAGGTAAGTATTTGGAAATTAATGAATCTCCATGTGAAGTTGGTGAAGCATAAAACCGTAAGTGCTTTTGGGTGAAATTATCAGCAGGTGGCACTGCGGAGTTATGTGTGTCTGGCGGAAGGATTCATGATCATATTTTATTCTCCCATATGTGACATATCAAACTGTCCCAGAATACGATACTGACAAGATCAAGATGCATGAGTCACCCTGAGGCTGACCCATTGTCTCCAGTTCAGAAAGAGCTATCATAATGGATATTGGCTGTGTGTACCTTTTAGAATATTTCACGGCAAAGGAATGACTGTTTGGAAGAACAAGTGTTTTATCTGACTTTGGGACAATGCTGTGCCATTATTTCATGGATATTGTCCCTGCTTGAGGTGCCAAGAACAGAAGTCCAATAGTTCAAATGCACATCCATCCAAGATATGTCTGTCTCATACATCACTGTAGCTACATAGTACATAGTGTCTGCTTGGTTTGTTTAATGTGCTGGGAGTTTTGAAAATAGAAATGGGATTAAGTATTTTCAAGAAACAGAAGGTGCTATGTATTGCAATGCATTCGATACTCTGTACTCTTGAGAGGGTATTGGAAAATTAATGAATGAACTTATTGCATAACATTGTTTGATAGATGGGTGCGTGACACATATATAAATGTATCCTGGGTATTCCCCCTTTCCCTGCTAATAACAAAGGAATGAATGCAAGTTCTATTAAATTCAACTGCATCCTTTTGGCATGGACCAGTGGCATTCCTAGCAAATGATTGATGATGCACATCTGAGATCCTTGAACTTAAGACAATATTACTGACTGAGAGATATGTGGAAATCTGAAACTTTTTCCCTTATGGAAGACAAGTAATTAGTAAACATTCCTGGCTACTTGCAATGGGAGCATTTTGTCGAATTAGCAAACTAAACTGAAATTCTTGGCAACAAATTGAAGCTGTTGTCCAAATCTGTCTGAATCAGCTACCTGGCCATTTGCCTTTGCTGACCCTCCCTGAATCGGCAGACAAAACTAAATTCACACCAGTGGGTTGCTCCCAGGCGGAAGATGCTGTGTGAACTCTAAAAAGAGATTCCCTGGATTCAGAAGAATCAGGTGAAGTGGGAGTGATGAATATCACAGCAGTATTTGGGTGTTATTTGGGATTGGGGTGCTTATTGTTAATCTCAGATTTACAGTAGAAAATACATATTTATCAATTTATCCATCCCTCCATCAGGGTTACATGAGCAACATGTAACTTGTCTGGTTCATGCATAAAGTGTGTACTCAATAAAAATACACAGAAACATGACGGTATTCTGTCATGGTGTTGCGAAACACTTGCTGTGTACCTGTTGCAATTCTCTTCCCAGTGCGGTTATAAGAAGAGCCTCCCACCCACCTTACCCATACCAGTTTGCCTATGGAGCGATTAGGTCTACAGAGGATGCCTTCGCCATTGCTCTTCACTCTGCACTCACACACCTTGAACATTAGGGGAGCTATGTAAGGATGCTTTACATCAGGGGTGGGGAACCTGATCCATGGAGGGCTGGTGTGGGTGCGGGTATTTGAGATGACCTCTCAATCAGCCAGTAACAGCGGGTCTCCAGGACTGGAGTAGAGAACCACAGTTTTATTATTGGCTGATGGAGAGGCCATCCCAAAAACCTGCACCCACACCATGGATCAGGTTCCCCACCCCTGCTTTACATAGAGTACAGCTCTGCTCAGTCATCCTGGGCAGACTGGTCAATAAACATACGGACTTAGGACCTGACTAAGGACACTTACAATTGTATCTACAAAATGCTGTGCTGACTTTAACGTTCATATAATTATCTATGTTTACATTTCATTTGCACTTTTATACATGTATATCTCATATACACTAACAGTAACTGTGCTATAATACTACTTTTTAGTATTTTTAAGTAGTTTATTTTGTACCGTTACTATTTTTCTTTTTTTTAATCGATATTTAAGTGTGAAGGCACCGTAAGCATTCTGCGCAATTTGGTTGTATTCCCTGGAATGACAATGAAGGAATCTTCAGTATCTGCGCATCCTGACGCTTCTTAACACGACCACACCTCACGTGCCAAAGACGCCGCTCCCGGATGTAGACGCGGACACTATCCTCTGCCGGTGCCCTTGCCTCTTACGCCAGCGTTTAGCGGCAGCAGCCCCCTGGGGAGTTAAATGGCAATGGCAGCTGTGGTGAGGAGCACCGTGCGACTCGGACCGGTGTATACTGTACGGATCCCACGGGCACGGAGGCTATGCGCGTCCACGCAGCCAGGTACCGACGGCGTCCTGGCCGCCGCTCGCTGTACTGTGCGGACTCTTCAATGATATGAATCAGTCACCCAGGGTCACTGCCAATCGATATTGTTTCACAAGCCATATTTTGAGCTATTTTATTAAGTGGCTTACTTAAAATTACGATTAATTTCCCTAAACCACGTTCCAGACATTTTTCTTACCTTTCTTATGCTTCTTACTTAATGACTAAATGTGTAACTATGAATAACGACGCGAGTAGCGTTACTTCAAAAGTATAATGTTATCATTTAATAGCCTATATCTTGTGAGTATATTTGAAATTTAACAGCTAAATAATAATAAGTATTATTCTTGCTTCGGTGTCCCTTGGTTTTCCATTGATGGTGATTAATACTTTCCTTAATCAGTTACTCCTACAGTTTTAAAGTTAATATTTAACTTTTGTGTGTTCAGAAAGTCTTGTTAGACAGCGCAAGGTGCTTAAACAGCAGCATTAAATAACTGAAATACCAGTGGAAACTAATGAAACATTATCTCCAATACGTTTATAAAGTAATACGTGATGCCGTGAAAATGATGACTTTCGCAATTCGTGCTTTTAGTTTGACTAAATAGTTTGGAGGTGAAATCATCTTGCGGTTTAGCTGTGGACCTTTTGTTTCCTTCATTAAATCGCAAATAGGCACGTGGAAGAAAACCATGATTTTACTTGAAGTGAAATAATGTGAAGTACTATTATTGGTTATGGGGCATTCATTAATTTTGTTTTCTCCATTTATTCATTTGCCTCAGGAAAGGGGGTTGTAAAACCACTGGATGGTATCAGAGTCTTAGATCTGACTAGGTAAGTTGGGCCACCATATCCATCAATCCATCCATCCATCCATCCATTTTATGCACCGGCTTGTCCTACGCAGGGTTATGGCACAGTTTTATACTGTTAAAATATTTTTGTTCTGTATTTGTCACTATGTTTAGTTTCATTTTAATCCTTAAACCAGCCCAAATGTGTATTGGCACATAGGTTAATATCAGGGGTGGGCAGTCATATCTGCAAAGGGCCGATGTGCATGCAGGTTTTTGGGATAACTTTTAAGTCAGCTGTTCAAACCCAGGTGTGAGGACTCTTCAGACAGCCACTCTTCAGATTAGTAATCTAATTAGGGAGTTACAGCGAAAACCCGCACACACCGGTCGTTTGGAGATGAGTTTGGCCACCCCTGGTTTATATTGACATTATTGGTTTGTCTGTTTTAGCTGAAATCAGGGGCGTCGTTTGGCGTGTTTTAGGGGGGTAAGGAGCGGAAAGTTCTGGAAGGGTCGCAAGCATTTTAAAACCAGCAAGCTCCTATGCTGATCCACGATCATATTTTCCAGCCCTGGTCCTAGAATGAACCTACATAAACATATGTACATGGTCTGCAAATGCTTAGGGCAAAACTAGTGAACACTCAACCAATCCAAAACGACAAACCACAGATGCTTCATCTACAATTAACTCGCACGTCCAGTCAGATTTATGCTACAGTAAAATCCCGTTATAGTGGACTCGCTTATTAGTGGTGTGCGATACTACAAGATCTGGTATCAATCCGATACCAAATAAATATAGGGGAAGTATCGCCGATACGATACCGATATCGATACTTTTTAATAACTTAGGTGGATCATCAAATTGCTAAAGCTGAAATAATTTTCATTACCTTTAAGTGTTTTTGTGATTTTTTTTTTATTAATTAGTTATAACCCAGGATGAAATTTGGGCAAAGTTTATGAGTAAATAAATACTGTAGCGCGGAGGTACCGACGGGCAGCGCAGCATGTTAATTGGACTGATACCAGCTTCTAAATAGTTCTAGGTAATCGCTTGTGTGATTATAAATGTGATGTGTGTTATGTCATGTATAGTGGTTAATGTTTATTGTTGTATGTGGTGTGTGTGTGTGTATGTATGTGTTTGTACGTTTGTAGTTCTAAACGTATTTAGGGTGTTTTTTAACCACCTTTTGTCTCTCCCACGACATTATTCCTCTCTCCTTCAGCGTCCATTATAATTATATGCAAATTATGCAAATTAAGCGATGGCGATTTCTAGTGACTTTTGGGACAACCAATAGCGACTTTCCTTGCTGAGGAGTTGGCAACAGTGAAGGAGTCGGGATTATTAATAGTCACGCATCTGGTCAGGTAAAGCTAGATTACTACAATATAATAATCTATACCACAAGTGTGTCTGCTGGGGTGTGGCATGAGTAAATGGTGTCCTGTAGTTGTGTTCTGGGCAAACAGCAACTCTGGATATAACGGGCTTTGGATATAACGGACTGTTTTGCTTGGACTCATGAAGTCCGTTATAACGGGATTTTACTGTATATTGGTATCGATTGGCGCAAATTGCAGTGCCCTGCGTGCTCAATCATAGCGTTAATTTACATCTATATAGACCTACATAGGATCCCGACTCAGCCGACATAGTAAAAGTGGGTCGCGGTGAAAAAAGGTTGAGAACCTCTGGTTTAAAATATCATTGGAAAAATATCCAAAATTTTACCGAAGTAACCCAAATCCGTATAATCATAATAACAATCATTCTGTCTGTATTTTATCCTGTACTCTATTTGTATTTACAAATTTCAGAAGCTAAATGAATGGTAGTTTTTCTACAAATATGTTTTTATTCATGAAGAGCAGTAGAGATTATAGCCTATCCTAAACCCACAAATAATTTAAGAAATATACATTTTAAAAACATTTACGTGAAGTTTTAAAACCCAACGATCTCAGTTTCCTTGGTGAATTTTATCGTTGAGTTTTACCTCAGACTACATCCCGCCTTTTTCACTGAATTCAAAAGCGTGTCTCGCGCACTGTAGCTTTCGCCGTCTCTTTTTATTGCTAGTAAGATCGAATTTGTCTGAACTGCATTCCTTTATGACAAATTTGTAATTTAGAAAAAAAACACATAATACATAATATTGATCTAAATTAACCCACTGCAGAATATGTCTACTATGTTTATCTTGCATTTATTCAGAAGGCTGAGTCCCCATAATTTTCAAATCCTAGAATCACCTCTGGCTGAAATATGCATGACATTGTATGTATGTGTCTCTGGTATGTTTTGGGTTTTTCGAACTCAAAATTAAATGAAAATGAAATTATGCTTTATTCTTCATTTGTGAGAAACTTATGTTTCTGTTCACATATTCCATCTTATTCTACTTTGAGATATACACACAAATAGAGCAAAGCCTAGAGTCTGAGTACAGCCATTTATGCCACAGACACTGGTCACTGGCTAACAACCAGTGAAACCACAACTGAGCACTTTACCTACTGCTGTTAAAGGTACTGTCATTGACTATGTGGCTAGCTACAAATACCTAGGTATTGTTCTTGACAACAAACTGATTTTAAATAACATGTTGATACTACATTTAAAACGGTCCAGCAAAGAATTTTTTTGTATTATTTTGTTTGACTGAATTGTATCTTTTTTTAATAATAAGTTTTATTGAATCTGTTTTAAGTTTTTGTATTATTGCATGATTTGGAAATCAAATTTTTTCTAATAGGAACAGGCTTTGGATGTCTTGTGAAGGTGTGTGGGGGGGGGGATGGCTGCAAGTTGGACATTTATAATGGGCTGGTGTCCTTAGGACGGTTCTAGTTGTATTGAATTGCTACAATCATCCACTAAATAAGAAGCACCCCCTTTCTGTAGGATTTTAGGACTCAGGGCGTCCTTAATCTCCATGGCTATTGCTATGCTTAATAGCAGACAGCATTCTGACTGGTACTGGGTATGGGTACACTGACATATACTGTACTTTGTAATGGTAAATTTGCCCATTATCATTTTTATCTATCTACTGTTCAATATATTGCATCATCTATTGTATTGGATTGCGTTGATGTTGAAAGTTATGTTGTTCTTGGCCACAATAAAGTTACCCTCGAACCCTTGATAGTGTTCTGTGACCTTTACATGTCTGTGTCCCATGGAGAGCAAAATGGGATAGACCCTTGTTCTAAGGTCTTGATGATGGATCACTGTTTGTGACTTGCGCATCCTCACCTCCAGGGTTCTTGCTGGTCCCTTTGCTAGTATGATACTGGGAGACCTGGGTGCTGAGGTGATAAAGGTGGAGAAGCCAGGTGAGTAAAGGGCTGAGGACCACTATGTGTAACCTCAATGTGAACATCACACATGCCGTGTGACCGCTTATATTCCGCAGTGCTCTTTCTGCTTGTAATTTCATACTTTGTTGATAATTTTATAATTCTAATACTTTCCATGCTATTCCTTACATTGTCATTGCTTATTGTGATTTATTTGTTCTAATTGTCTGTTAATGTGTTTTTACATTGACAGACAGATGAATAAAGTATCTGTCTATATCTTACTGTCTCTGTCTAATCATGATAGCCATAATCTAACTATTCTTAATTCACTAGCAATATGGTCAGTTCTTTGTGAGAAGTGTGTGTTTCTTTGTTCAGCTGTTGTTGTAAAGAGGCTGTCTTTCTGGAAGGTTCTGGGGACGACACAAGATCATGGGGCCCGCCATTTGTAGGGAAGGAAAGCACTTATTTCCTTAGTATCAACCGCAACAAAAAGGTATATCTATCCAGCTTCCATATTATCACTAGTCTCCAGGGCTTTGCATTTCTATATGGGCTTGATCATAAATAATAAAAACATCCACAGCCTTTAATTTTAAAGGGATGTGTGGTATTTTGTGGCACATACCCCTTAGGTGCTTGATTAAAACATTCTGTTCAATTCTGTTCCTTTACAATCTGAGAGAAAAGCCTAAATCATGATGTTTACACATTGGGATGATGAATGCAGTTAGAATGTTTACATTCTGAGCAGTATGACTGCGATTCGTAAGGGTGAAAAATACAGAATTGAAAAAATATGAATAAACATTTACAGCAGTGTTTTATTTGTAGAGCATCGCAGTAAATTTGAAAGATCCTAAGGGAGCCAAGTTAATACTGGAGGTAAGGTACTGTCTCTAATGGATATTTTTATATCAAGTTTTTAAATGACTTTTATTGACGTTTTGTATCATTTTTTACTATTAAACCATATACAATGGAGAACACTTAGAACAAGGTACATTTCATCCATCTTTACCTGCTAGGAGGCTCTTTAGCCTCAAAACCCAGTCAGTACGGCTTAAACACAGCTTTTTTCCACAGACTATTCAACTTTTTAACAGTCCTGCCCCTTCCAGCATAATATTGGTCTGTTAAAAGGGCTAATAACTCTGCACTCATAACTCTAAAGCTAAACCTGTTTATAGCATGTTCTACTTTTATGCCAAAATTCTGTGCCAAACTGCACAATCTTTCCTCACTAATCAGGTGGATAATTGTATCTTATTATGTTTGACGTAATGTCCATATCTTAAACTGTCGTGCTTATATATTTGTATGTCTCAATATTTCTATTCTATTTATTATTTCTCATTTGCATTATGAAAAATGAGAATGATATTTCACCTCTGTATTGTTCCGTGCATCATATATCTGAAGCTGACAATGAAATATACTTTGACTTAGACATATGCATACATAGATCACAGTCAAATAATTCACCCGTTAGTTTGTAAACACTGAAATATTTTGTAAGAAATATTGGTGTGTAAGTTGCTGTTTGGCTCACTGTTGTTAAACACTTTGGAACTGAAAACAAATCATTGCCAGTTGTGTGTTTTGCTTTGTCAGTGTACAGGAACAGTTCTGTAAAGCACAGTTCTTTTTTTTCCCGCAGCTTGCGGAAGTTTGCGACATCCTCATGGAAAACTATCTCCCGGGCAAGCTTGGCCAGATGGGGCTGGGATACAAGGATGTTCAGAAGGTGGCGCCCCGGCTGATCTACTGCTCCATCTCTGGTACTGATCTCTGTAAATGAGCTAAAAATTACCATTACAAATACTGCTCCATTAACTCACAACAATCCAGAAGTTTCCCAGGGTTCTATAGATATGACATCCTTTGTCCTCCTTTACATTCATTTAGAAAGCAAATTTTTTTATTTTTTCATTCAGCAAATCTACTCTACAAATGCAGAAGTAACTACACTGACACTGAGAAAAATGGCTTCACTTTAATTTAATTTTTTTATCTGTCCACCTGTATGTGTAGTAGATGGGTACAGTACCTATCAAAGGCATTGACACACTTGATTTTAATGCATTTGTCTCTAAGCGGTTTTATTTACCTTATAGTAAAAGGGCTCGTGACAGTGAAGTCATTCATATCAAATATTGCATAAACCAAGAGAAGAGTTCAACGTCTTAAAATTTTCTCAAAATTTAGACTCTTCAAAATAGCCCCCTTTGACTTCAATGACAGCATTACAGACTTGTGGCATTTTTTCAAGCTGCTTCCAGAAGTAGCCACCTGGAATGCTTCTCCAACAGTCCTGAAGGAGTTTCTACAATTTCTGGGCACAAGTTGGCTTCTTTGCTCTTACTCTTCGATCCAGCTCATCCAAAACAAACCCTATAGGGTTTAGGTTGGGAGATCATGGGGGGCCAGGTCATCTGTCGCTGCATTCTATATCTTTCCTTGTTCACAAGATAGCCTTGAGGTTCGTTTAGGGACACTATCTTATTGTGATTTTCAGTAGGTTTGTCCAGACTTTCAGGGTTCCCCCTGGAGTTTGATTTCAACTCTTCACTTTTCTTTGTATTTTTGCTTCTACTAATCAAATTCTTCACTTTTTTTCAGCATCCGTTTTTCCGTTCTTAATAAATTAATCATTAAACTCATTAAATCATTAAAAGTCCTTATTCTTAGCATTTCGGTTTAGATTTCTTGTCAGGTGAAAGTGTTTATGACCAGATATATGTGTGAGAAATATAGTGATTTTTGGTGGCTGTCTTGGTACTTTAAGTTACATTAAGCCTTTTCCTTATAATGGGCGTCAATGGAGGGAAAAACGCTTAACGTAAAATAAAGTCCATATTCCTTGTATTTCGGTTTTGTTTTTTTGTCAGGTGAAAGTCTTTGACCAGATGTGTGTGTGCGAAATTTGGTGATTATTGGTCGCTATTTTGGTACATTAAACCACATTAAGCGTTTTCACATTAAGCGTTTTAGAATGTCCCCACACCGATCTATAACATTTGCTACTTTTAGAATGGCCCATGCTCATTTGACATGGATGATCGACGATCGTGTGTCCGGGGCGCCGGGCCAGTTTTGATTAGGCCCTACGGGTGCTACGGTTGAAAATTGGGAAAAAATGAAATTTGACTTTTCAAAAATTCAAAATTCGTCATTTGAAAATTGAATTTGCCAGAGTGACGATTTGATGCAGTTTTTCTTCGTCACCATGGGTTCCGTTTTCGTCAATGACGAGAGTGACGAGCGGCAGCGGGAACCCTGACTTTTGACTAGTATTGTAAATCACAGTGTACTTATTGAAAACTGAGCAAAGCTGAACAAAGATATTTTCTCATGAGATAAAACAGATCCCAAGAAACATAAATCAGTTTTGAAAAAATGTGCCTTTGCATGACAGTAATGCTGTTAAAGGTGTCTTAGTGGGGTTTAGTTTAGTGGGTGTTACTGTTGTCTCACACCTGTGGGGTTATGGTTTTGATTCCTGGCTTTGGAGAATGTGTTGGATTTGCTTGTTCTTGCCTTTTCATGTGGAGTACCCCAGTTCCTTACCACAGTCAAAAGCATGTGGTTAGGTGACATGGTGTCTCTGAATTGCCCATTGTGTGTGACTTTGTGCCCTCTGATGGACTGGCATCCCTATGGGCTGATATTTGTGCCACTAGAAACTGAATATGAATATTGTATATTTGAATCGATCTGCGGTTGATTACTTTTCCTCAAGGAACCGGATGTGCGTCTCAATAGATTGAAATTGAATTTGCGAACTGAAAATTTTCCAGGTAGGATAAATTAAGTTTCAAGTTATTGGAATTCAGATTCAAACTATTAAATTCAGATTTAGTTTTGTAATGCGACAACTGCAGATTCAAATATGCAATATTCATATTCAGTTTCTAGTGGCACAAATATCAGTCCATACATCACATCCAGGATGTCCGCTGCATCATGTCCTGTTCTTCGCTGCTTGTCGCAACCCTGTATTACGTAAGTGGTTATGGAAGATTGATGAAACATACTGTACACATACTCTTCATGGACAAAAGTATTAGAACACCTGGCCATTACACCCACACGGTCTTTTTTAACATCCCATTCTAAATCTGCCACACTTCTGGGAAGGCTTTCCACAAGTTTATGGAGAGTGTCTATATTTATTTTTGCTGATTCATCCAGAACAGCATTTGTGAGGTCAAACACTGATATTGGACATGAAAGCCTGGCTTGCAATCGCCGTTCTAGTTTATCCCAAAGGTGTTCGATGAGGTTGAAGTCAGGGCTATATGCTAGCCAGTCAAGGTCTTCCACAGCAAACTCACCCAACCATGTCTTTATGGACCTTGCTTTGTGCACTGGGACACAGTCATGCTGGAACAGAAAAGGCCCTTCCCCAAAGAAATTCACACAAAGCTGGAAGGACAGAATTGTCCAAAATGCTGAAGCATTAAGAGTTCTCTCCACTGGAATTAGGGGGGCTAGTCCAACCGCGGAAAAACAAACCCCATACTATTATCTCTCCTCCACCAACTTTACAGCTGGCTCGCTGCAGTCAGGCAGGCAATGTTCTCCTGGCATCTGCCAAACCCAGACTCGTCCATCAGACTGCCAGTGTGATTCAATACTCCACAGAGCACGTTTCCACTGCTCCAGAGTCCTGTGGCAGTGCCCTTTGTACTGTTCCATCCCACACTTGACATTGCATTTGGTGATATGAGGCTTGCATGCAGCTGCTCAACCATGGAAGCCCATTCAGTGAAGCTCCTGGCACATTATTTTTGTGCTGGGGTTAATGCTAGAGGAAGTTTGGAACTCTCAGTTATTGAGTCAACAGAGTGTTGGGGACTGTTACGCACTATGAGCCTCAGCACTTGGCAACCACGCTCTGTTACTTTACGTGGTCTGCCACTTTGTGGCTGAGTTTCTGTTGTTCCTAAATGCTTCCATTTTGCAGTAATACCACTTACAGTTGACCAAAGAATATCTAGCAGGGAAGAAATTTTATGAGTTGACTCATTGCAAAGGTGGCATCCTATGACAGTACCACACTTGAATTAACTGAGCTCTTTAGAATGACCCATTCATTCACAAATGTTTGTAAACCTGATTGCATGGTTGGGTCCTTGAATTTATACCCTGTGGCAATCGGTCTGAATAAAACACTTTAATTCAATGATTAATGATCCATGTTTGTCCTTGTAGTGAACAATGAAAAAACTCAACAAGTAATTTGGTAATAAAATGTGATAATTCCTTCTAGTGCACAAAATACAGTGTAAGTGTAAAATAAGCAGTCGAACTAAAATCTAAGTAGAATATGAAACAGGAAACCACGCCTTATTCATAGTACAATGTAAGAAATTTCATACACTGAGCTGATTCTAAGTAATTTTTCCATTTCGATAATTTATAATTCCGGGGTTTGAAATGTATTGAGTATTGGGGGGGGCAGCATGGTGGTGCAGTGGTTAATACTGTCCCAATGTCATTGTGGGGTTTGGTACATTAAACCACATTAAGTGTTTTCACATTAAGCGTTTTAGAATGTCCCCACACCGATCGATAACATTTGCTACTTTTAGAATGGCCCATGCTCATTTGACATGGATGATCGGCGATCGTGTGTCAGGGTAAACCAGTCTAAAAACATGCTGAGGCTAATTGGAATTACCAAATTGCCCGTAGGTGTGTATGTGTGAGTAAATGGTGTGTGAGTGTGCCCTGTGATGGGTTGGCACCCCATCCTGGATTGTTCCCTGCCTTGTGCCCGTAGCCTCCGGGTTAGGCTCCAGACCCCCTGTGACCCTGAACAGGATAAACAGTTTCAGAAAATGGATGCTCCCAGTTTATAATTCTTCTGTACCACATTTGACTTTTTTTACAGTTTTATTTTCTCCGGTGGGTGCCTTTCAGGCATGGGCAATTCTGGGTTTTTTATGTGGGGGGTATGAATTGAGCCATAATTCATACAAAGAGGCCAACCTCATCATTAGCCAATGACGTGTTTTGAATAGGAGAGTGACAGGAGAAGGCAGTCCAGGGACCAATCAGCTTTCATCTGAGATCAGTGCCTGCCTCTATATATGACCTTGCTTTCATGTATGGGAAATGTTGTTGTTCCTAGCTAGCTATTTATGTTTAGTTAAAGAACTTATAATTATTCAGTAAACCATTCATATATATCTTAATTGCTTATCCCAGTCTGGGTCACAATGGCCTGAAGCCTGTCCCAGCTAGCACAGGTTATATGCCTGAGTATACCCTGGATAGTCAAGCTGAACAATATTGAAAATAATTCACATTGCAGTATTTGAAGTTTTTTTAGTTGAAATTTACCCAAAATAAAATATAGCCAAATAGTATTTATCTACCAATAGAATCTCTCTTAACTGGAAAAGACATGCTAGTAGGTCACTCACATTTAGGTTAACTCTAACAACTGAATTCTGAGACACAAGTGGTGAAATAAGCTGGTGCTGTTGCCACAAGTTGTGCCAACAGATACAAAGCAGTGTCGACAAATCACTTGCTTTTGCTCACTATCATCTCTGTGGAATCCAAAATATTTCCACACAGAGGAAAATTTGTTTTTTGGCAATCACTTGTGCACTTTTCTCCATGTCAGTCATTTTTGTTAAATTTCTCACAAAATTGCCACACTGTCTATGCAACCAGCAGCAAGGATGAAAATGATTTTGATTGGCTTGGAGAGTGCATGCACGTGCAGCAAACTTGTCTTATGTATTTATACAGTTATTTTACAGTT